AAGAGATTATTATAACTATCATTATCATTGCCATGTGAAAATAACAATGATACGTTGAAATATACTTAATTAATTAAAAATTAAATAACAAGCTTGTCAGTCTAGTTCTTCTGGTCCGCGAGTCACGCTCATATGATTGACATGACGGGGCCTTTGCAAGACCTTGTCCTGCACATGCTGTACTGGTGCCCTTTTCGGCACTAATTATGAGTTTTGATACACATTCACACAACACAACCAGTGAGTTTCGATGACTACATCTTGTATTATGAATTTCGGTAACAAACGGTTTACCTTTCTTTCTAAATTGTTAGATAAAAACGAGGAACTAACCTAACCTAAAACCCCGATAGTTTAGATTTAATACAAATCAACAACTTTGTCGTTATTGGAGACCATAGAATATACGATTTTTTTTATAAGTTAATGTTTCTATTCGTATTGAGTGAATAAAAAAGTCGGTGTATGGATATAAGATTAAGGATAGAAGATAAGGATTCGACATACTTAATCGAATGTTAGTGTCATTCCAATATAAAGACTTTTCTATTCATTACATTAGACTAGTGTCTATAGCCTATTTTTTTTTTATAGCATAAGCCGGTAAACGAGCAGACGGATCACCTGATGGTAAGCAATCGGCGTCGCCCATGAACATTCGAAGCACCAAGGCGTTACAAGTTCGTTACCGGCCTTTTAGGAATTGGGAATTTGAGCATTGTGGAGGATTCGGGGATTCGGGAGACGGGGACTAGGGAGGGTGGTAATTGGGCCTCCGGTAACCTCACTCCACTCACACGACGAAACACAACGCAAGCGTTGCTTCACGTCGGTTTTATGTAAGGCCGTAATAGCGAAGAACAGATATATTTAAAACAAATAAGTAGCAAATCTTTTTCATCCATAACCAACACAGAAGATACATTTAAAAACTAAACAAATAACAATTATCTATGGTCAAACAAAAGTGAATCAAGTAGATGCAACTAAATATCTTGTTTGATAACTCAAATATTATCTAGATAACTATTAATGTACTGCATGGCTATAATCAAAGTTATATGCAATGATAAGAGTTGCTGTGTCAATTCGAATGACATTGATAACGTCAGTGTTTAAATTTTATCTAACTAATTGCATGTTTATTAATTTGATTTACATATTTAGATCGTGTGTTTTGCAGTAGGTAGATGATCGAGTTGTTGATTGTCAGTCAACCTGTGGTATGTTGTTGAATAGGGGGGATTTCATTTTTGTTTTTATCGTTATCGGTAGTTATAAATTACCATCTGTTTCATCTATTTTTAAATTTTAGCATCAATATTTTGATATTTTCAATACTATAATCTTCCCGATCCCGGTATTTTCTACAGGATCGAAATCTATTTAGCAGACATTTTTGTTTTATTGTGTCCAAAAAGGATGCTATACTCATAAAGGGCTGGTAAAGGTTCAATGCCGACTCAAACATATTTAGGAAAAGCTAAAAGAAAGAATGTCTTCTATGTGTTATTACAGCTTGGGAGTATTCATTGTAATAGAGTCATTAAGTCATTTCCCAACTAACTAGGGGAAGTCCGCGCTTAACATAGCCAACTAAGGATTTGGAAATTCAAACATAATTAGGTATATTTTTTCCGTTCCGATCAAATACAAGACCTATTCACAGCAAGAAATAAAACGAGGCTCCAATCCTATAGTATGTAAGTAACTACTAGGTAATTATTTTAAGGTTAAGGGTTCATTCACTTTATTGTATTTAGTACCTACGCAGGTTTATTTTTTGTATGCGATCATGGGGCTGACGTGTTCTTTCTAGGAAACAAGAACTAAAACGCAAAAATCGACAAAAAATAACTTCATTCGTTATAAAATAATTTCTAACAATGAAAACTGTCCGAGGAAATAACTGAGCATTAACATTACTCAATTATGTACGTACCCATTTTCTTTGCAATGGAAATTGACATTGACAAATAAATAATACATTTGTCTGTATAATCTGTGGTCCTCGTTATGTCATTATAGGGGTGAGCCGCTGCCGCGTAAATATTACCTGTGGTTAAAAAATGGAGCAATGGAAATAATAGTGACAGGAAAAGTGATAATATTGATTGGGTATTGTCATTTAACTGTTACTGCGAATACTGCGTACATGGTAACGAATTAAATTGCACAAATACTAGGTTGATATTAATTTTGAACATGTTTTTTCACGAAAAAGATTTGTCATAGTTTCTTTTTATGCAAAACGTATGGAGGTAAGTTAATTGTTTTTAAAAGCCAAAAAGTAATACCAATAAATTACCTAAATGTAAATTTTTGTACTAATAATTGAAACAAAACTAAGGTCGTGATAACAATTCAACATAAAAACCTTGGTATTTATGTTATTCTGTAGTCTCTGTACTAATTATGATCAATACAATAGAATACTAAATACGGTATTCAATAAAACTATGTTCTAACAGTAACTATAAATATAATAGTGCTAACGAGAAAAAATGCAAAAATATAATGATAAAATGTTATTTCTTAAATAAGAAACCCTTCCATAACTTCTGTTGACTAAAAGAAGGTCAACAGTCAAAATTATTCCTCATAATCATGATCATACAAGCCAAAAAACGTCTGTTGCTGAACATAGGCCTCCCCCAGTGGCTTCCAGAACGATTGTTTAGTAGCAACCTGTATATAAACCTAAATCCTTCCTTCCTGATGTAGTCTTAAATAAAATAGTTATGGATAAGCAGTAAGAAAACGCGTTCCGTTGTTTCCATGGTTGTATCTACTGTTTATCCTGGCTTACAGGAGTTGCAGCCGTTTAGGAACGTAGAAGCGAGCTTGTCGCGATATAAAAGTATTAAGAATTTCCGAAATTCTTACAAAAGAAAAACGGGACTTTTATCGTTGATTTTGATATTTTCTTCAGGTTTTCTTAGTTTTATAAGGTGTTCCATTTCGTATTACAATTCTACAAATAAACAGAACTTTCTTTGATTTTATTTTAACATGTTAGTATTTTGTTTTCCATTTCGTTACTTTCAAAACTTCTTTTTGTTTTGTTACCTACTTATTTTCAAAAAATTTCAACTTTTTTTTTGGTATTTCAGTAATTGAACGTCATAAGAGCACTAAAGCTTATTTGACTACATCTAATTAAGTTGCTCTTAGCGTTATGACCAAAAATAAGTCAAATTATCCGTCGGTTACTAACAGGAACTTACTAAACATTGTGAAGAAACCTTAAGTCGCAAACTTGCTCAAAAATATGTATTCTAGTGACCTAAAATGAAAGAAGGTTAAACTCAAATATCTCTGTCTAATATGCAATAGCAAAAGTTTACGGAAATCTAGAACTTATTTCCGACAACACACATAGGATCAATCAATCATTTTGTCTGCATCAAAAGTAGGATAATAAAATACCAATCATGCCTCGTTTACATTAGTCAAGTAACTTGCTTAGAAACGAATTGAAAATTTGGAATTTTCACCTATTCTCCAATAGTTTGTCTGGCCATTTTTCAAAGTAGTTCAAAATAATACTCTAATCATAAGAACTAGGACAAAATTTTCTTTAAATATATTTTGATTGTATTTTATTATGGTTGCATCAGATAATTTGAATGATCGATTATTCATAAAACGATTCGATAAAACACGATGTTAAAGATAACAATTTCATACAAAGTACCTAACCATCAACAATGGTGACAGTCCACTACTAGACTATGTTCTACTCTTTTTTAAAGAAGGGTTTTGTCATAACATCTATTCATGGAGACGGAGACCCCAGTTTAAAAAGGTTCAGAATTATCAAAGAGCACTGTTGTTCCATCTATGTCAAATGTATATTTTGTTTATCAGTTCTGGCGACATCCAGAGGACGAGTAGACTAATATTTAACTTAGAGAGAATGTTTTATTAATTACGGAAGTGCAGTAAATGTATCTAAATACGAGTAATTTCTAACTTAATATCAACGTCGCATGCGAATAATGAAGCACTTAGTTGGAGAAGGCAATAATTAATTCGCGATTATGTTTAAACCGTTGATTTAATCAGTGAAATAAGTAACGATGCAGCATTTATCCATACATTTCTTACTAAATTGAAGTTTTTACTAAAATAACCGAGTTAAAATGCGTTTAGTATCATATTCCGCTTTATAATTAAATAGGCCTAATACTAAGAGGTACAATATTCATTGCTGAATAATTTGCAAGATGAATAACTGTTATTTTATTAAATAATAGGTATGAAGGAGATTGTTATATCATTACATTACAGTAGGTATACTTATGGAAATTGTATTATACTAATTATATTAGTTTAAAGTATCTACGTCATTCTTCCACGTGTATAAAATGCCTAGACGGGTGAAGATAATACTAGTGCAGGGAATAGGATTGAAATGAATACGGTATTTTGAACTTAATATTTTAATTTTCTTATCCCATGTATCAATTGGTTTTTGGATTGATAGGATACCTTATTGATTATTAACTAATGTTATTGAATGTTTTTGTTAAGTAATTATTTAGATTGAAATTGTGCATAATTATTTGGTTAGTATTAGTCATTGGCTAATAAGAATAGTTTGATTAAAATATTATTTAATTTAATAAATTAAAAATAAGATTATGTAAATAGTTACCGAAGTAACTTTATAGATTTGTTTACATTATGTGGAAGTAAGAGACGCTAGGACATTGTATCGTCTGTTGAGGTGGTTGTCGGCTCAAGGGAGCACCTATCAAACTGATAAGACGAGAGATATACGATAAAGAGGTAAATAATCATTGCACTCATTGTAATAAATCAAAAGGTTACCTGAAGATTGCATTCCATCACATGACAACGCATGTTAATACTCATTTCATTAAGGTCATGATCAAAAGAATCGCGGAAACTATCAGATGATACGTAAGCGTACACAGATTTACTAATTTTACTTAAAATGAAATTGATAACTTCACTTGAGAAAAAAAATGTCACTAACCCGGTTGTTGTGGCGGCAGCAGAGGTGGCATCGCTTGCGGCAGCGGTATGGAGGGCGGCAGTGGCGCGTACGGGGACACTCCAGGAGAACCCGGCACAGAGTCGCAGCTGGCAGAGCCCAGCGACCGCGGCGGCGGTACCACGGGACTACGCGGCGCCTTCACCACCGGCGGCTCCGGCTGCTCCAGCTCCACGCCGAGCGCCTGCATCCCGGCACGCGCCCGCGCCTCATCCTGCGCCTGGGCACGCCGCATCGCAGTCTGTTGTGCCATCACTCGCTGCCGGTCAGCAGTCAGTATACACTTCTCGCAAGTACAGTTGCGGTACTTGCAGTACCGCTTGTGGCCCTTCAGCTCTATCTTGAGACGGTGGTTCCGACAGCGCGCGCAGTTCGGCGGCGCACGCGGCACGGCAGAGCTGGAGGCGCCGGGCTCGGAGCGCTCCTCGCAATCGTCGGGCGTGCGGCGCCTCCACGAGCCCACGGACACCATGGCTTGGCCCTCGTTTTCGGCCGTGTTCGCGGCGAATTCGACGGGCACGAAACGAACGCACACGCGGTGCGGCGCGCGGTCACGATGCGACTGCCTGCCCCCGCCGCCGGCGCGCTCTGCCCCGCCCCGCGCCCCACCCCGTCGCGCTACTGCATTTATTACTGTGCCCGCATGCAACTATGCAATTTTTTTAACATAAATTATCTATTAGATTCGTAAAAGATAATACATATTATATCTTTCAGGTATTTCAGTCCATGTGTAGAATATTTTGTTTACAAAGACTATGGTCTCAAGGTAAAACAAACTGCAAAGTATCAACTATGTAATCAGTGTTTAACTTTGTCTTGAAACTAAATGTTATTAATAAATAATTTCATTTTTATATTTATAAAAGATAAGAAATAATTTTAAACTTAGAGGAGTTACCTACCTACATTTTATAGTAAGTAACCACAGTTTGAGTACCTAGTTTCCTCGGAATGCGTAACTTTAAAAAGTACCTAAGTAAGTAGGTAGAAAGTAGGTAGTTATGTGCATAACTACGCAATGGAGATACCTAACATGGTTTTTGGAACGTCTTTCTCAATTCATTAGCATTAGACTTACTTTCGTTACAGCTTAAAGGATGCCATTTATTCTTTAATAGCAAATTAAAACTCGTAATCAATCATTTTTACTTTTTTAACGCTACACCTAGGTACCTAATATAATAATTTTGACTAACCAACACAAACAGACTTAACTATTAACAAATTATTGCAGCAAATTGACTGTTATGAATGTTGTGATACAAATAACTAATGCTAATAGAGAAATAACTGAATACATTATCGTGTTCGTGTATTGAAAAAACATACAAACGACATATTTATTGCAGTTTATTGCGCAAAAGTGCACACTAATAAAGACGCTCGACTGCGTGTGGCTGCACTACGATCGCGTGCAACAACGTCGACGCACACACTCACACCGTATCTGTGCACCGCAGACACTTCCCGTGTGTGTGTAAAAGATGCGATAGTGTGCAAGTCGCGCGATTTTTACACGTGAAATTTTACAAGTGTGTCTGCGCCGGCGCATCGTTACGTCACAAAAGTTTATGAAATATGCGTTCTACTTGCAAATAAACAGTGTTTGGTAGCCACACTATATAATATATCAACGGTCAATAATTCAAGTTATGACAATTAATTGATTACTATAAACGAATCACTCATTTTCCGTTATTATTGCAATTAGTGCAATTATTGTACGCATTCTTAGTCTAGTCGCATGCTGGGTTTGGTTCCCGTGCCGCGCTAAGTAATGGGTACTTCAACAACATACTTAAATCAATGCATTGTAAGAGATTAATTTGATGACTTCATTCATTATTTATTTTATTGAAAATAGTACAAAAGTAGGTACCTAAGATATTCCAAGCTATTCGTATTTTTCCTATTAGAATCTTTGCCTACAAACTTGTTACAGGAAAAATACGAGACATAATAGATTGTAAAGAAAATACAAACGACCCAATGATTATTTAGCCCAAGTTGAAAATCTTCTCCTTTATAAAATCTGTAGTAGGTACTTTTGGTCGAGGTCAAACCAATTCGCAATGGAAAATGTGTAACCGTGATTAAAACTTTGATTGAAAATTGTTTTAATTTAGGTTTCAGGATCTTCCTGTATGTAATTATTTTTTTTACCTCTGGACTGTCTCTCCGTCTGTCTGTCCTCTGTCTGGACTTTAAAAGAGACAGACCTCTGAGTTTGTTTCGGCATTTCTTCTCAGAGTAGTCAGTTAGGAAATGTCGACCTCATCGTTCGCTAGTTAAAATTGACGTGTAAAAGTGCTACCTTGTAGCCTATTTGCAGAAATAAATTCACTTGTTTCACTTGATACCTGTTCACACTCATTGTTAGGTGGCATTTAATAAAAAAATATGTATAACAACGTGACAAGATTCAGCTTTCTTTAAAAAAACGGTTTTTTGGACTCACCTTTATTATTGTTCTTGTATCAGATATAAGAATATGCACTCCAAGAAAAAAAAACAAAAAAGCATCGATTAGAATAACTCTTTCTTCCCTCACAGAACGTGATGACACTTAAATTAAAAATTTAATAGTTAAAAACTGTGTCTCGTACAATGCAAAGCGGCTATTCAAATTTTACGATCCGCCATGCGCCATGTTGTTTTTAATATTGTCAACGCATGCGCATCACACATCCCCTTTATCGCGCCTTCCACAGACTATGCATCCGATTTTGTTCTTTAGACACAAGTATTTATTTATTCATCCAAAATATTTTTTATGCTTTTAATATTTCATAACTGGTACCTAAATCTCGACTTGGCAGGGGCACTGCCGTTCCTTCAGAACTTATTGAGTGAAATCTTTGAGTCTAATTCGAAATTGTTGTCTGCAATTACGCATTTAGAAAATGTAGCAAGAGAGTGACTGGGTGCAAGTCGTTTTGAACTGGTCTTTCTGGAAGTTAGGGGAGGCCTATTTTCCACAAAATGACATTTTGAAATCAATAGGACCCAGCGCAACTTAAAGAACAATGACTTAACTTAGCAAGACCTTTAAGAAATAAGTAACCTTTAAAAATAAACTATCGTTTTTTTCTTCTCCTCTTATAATCAGAATGAATCAGAAGATATTCTTCTGATTCACTTCATTGCAGGAACCGAGACAGTCATTCATGTCCCTGGGACGCGCCGGACTTCAGTGTTCCGTTGTTTTCATGGTTTTATCTACTGTAGATCCTGGCTAACAGGAGTTGCAGCGGTTTCGAGAGGTAGTGACGGGCTTGTTCCATTAAAAAAATATCTTTAAGGTGAAACTCCATCAGGTGAATGACTAGCATTCCTCATTTAAATTAAATTAAATGAAAGAATTCCAAAACACCTACCTGAACGCAAAATAATATTTTATTATTCGAATCTCGATTCCATAAATCGTGTACCTACCTCTACAATCGATTCGATTAACATCGAAAACAATCGATGTAGGTATCGATAAAAAGTGATCGACAATTTTGCACTGGACAAGTTTGCGTCAAAGACTGCCGATATTTCTTGTGATACACAAAACAATTTCTGTTAATACGAAAATGGCTATATGAAAGATTCTCTTAAGACAAAAAATGTAAACGTTATTCGATTTGTAGGCTCGCTATGATGACACGAAAGTGCGGACAAATGTATCTATAGTAAAACGTTAATGTTTTGAAATAGTGTAAAGTTGAAAGGACCTAGGACAAGATAAAGGAAAATAATTTTTAAAGGCCTCTGCAGGGCCCAAACAAAAATTTGATAATAGAATAGGAAACCTATTTAAATAATACCTTATTTAATAATTACCAGATCTAAGCAAGCGTCGAAATAAAGGACCTCATTCACAGCAATCTCACTTTGAAAACTGCAATCAAGTAATTTTCCAAAACGCATCTTTGAAACTCAAAATTTTGGTCACCTCTACCCCGTCACATCATTTTATTCCAACCAAAGTGACAAAAAATGGTACAAAATGTTGACAAATTAACTGACAGTGAAATGTATGTAACTTATGTGTGTTATAAAAATAATATGTTAAGTATTTTTTTCGAAAGAATGTGAATTTTTTATTTAAGCCCTTGTTTTGACTAGTGGTTTTCCTTCACAAATATTCCTGTCTGTGGCATTTGACAATTGACATAGATATTTATAGATGGGATTCTTGTAGATATAAGATAACATCACGCCTTATATCCCCGACAGGGCAGAGGTGCACATGTAACACCTACTGTTCCCTATTTATGTTATGAGTCCTACTGAGAAATTTAAAAAAACCCAATAATTTTTTGCCCGACCCAGGTATCGAACCCGAGACCTCTTGCCCGGCAGTCGCACTTGCGACCACTCGGCCAACAAGGCACTCATCTAGATCTTTCAATAGTCAGTCTTGATCTAGATATTTATAAGTAAAATTATGGTTTCGCTTAATAACATACATTAATTTTTATCCTAAAAGTTTCAGCAGATTATGTCAGAAATTCTTAATTAGAATACAGAGGTCGCAATTTTTTTTAAGATTTCCCATCATTGGACGGTAAGTAAGGACTTGGCAATTTATTTATGTTTATCTGGATTTTCCTATGAATGCCCCTTGCTCCCATGGTCCATGATATATAATTATATATACTAGGTAAGGAGCGGGGCTATCGTCATGCCCGGTTATAGTGCTAGAATCTTAACACGTTAACTGCTACGTAAGTCACCGGAGACCGGTGTTTTGCGGACGATTTCTCTTCAACGATTTTCTGATGGCAGTCAAGTTTAATCTGATTACACTGATCATAACTAACCGAGGTCATTGGCTCTCCTGGAGCTGCGAACGACCTAGTGGGTTACCGGGACTCCGGTTGAAAGCAGGAGTAGGAACGGGGTGGTTTTTAGTAAGTAAGAGTGTGACTCTCCTGCGCCTCACCCAAGGGGGATTAAGAAGATGATTGGATGTTTTTGCTCCCTCAAAAACAAACGATGAACTCTAACTAATTGTTCATAGTTAAGACCTCGACCTCTGTAGTAATTCTAATAACCACGGAACTAAAGGGTGACGGGAAATCGATCGCTTCCAAGAATTTAATATTTAATAATATTTTAATCACAGATGTCGCATGTCGATTAGTACGGTTTAAACATTAACAATGTACTGTAATTCATTATTCACTACTTTATGACATGCAATTTTTTAATAGTGATGTCCTTAACCTATAGGATCGACTGTCGATATTGACTAAATGACAGATTATCAAATGTAACACTCACTTTATCTTCGTACAGGACCTTACTACATACCCTGAGAACAAAGTTATACCTCATTTAACTCGTCGAGTACCGGTTTTATAGACACAATTAAAGAACCGGTCATGGTCATGGGTCGCGGTCACCGGTGACCGCTTGGTGTTTGACAGTTTAATACTATTGAAAAAACTTAATAATACCTGGGTAGCTACTAGAGGATTCGATCCCGGTCGATTTTTCTAGTCCCGGGATTTCGGGATTATCGACTGTTAATACCGGGATCCCGGGATAGTCCCGGGATTTTATTGGTAAAGAAAATGGTAGCAATTAAAAAGAAGTAAACATATCAAAATCAACCTTTTATTTTAAATCTTTACTTAAATCTTCAAAAACAAAACAAAATTATTATTTCTTCTAATAAAATTAACAAACTAGGCCCTTATAAAAATTATTGCCTAGTTTGTTTATTTTATATTTTACAATAAACTTAAAAAAATCAACTTCTAATATTTGTCAAAAGAGATCAATGTTAATAGGACTACTAATATTTTAAATAAAATAGACCAGGAACTATAATTTACTTATTTAAGCCACGAAAATAAAATCTAAGAAATAACAACGCATCCAACGTCTCATCCGAAAGCATGCTTCTTAATTTGTTGCACAAATATGAAGCAGCGGAAAACGCGCGTTCAGGCTCAATGGAAGTTGGAGGAATCGTCAATAAATTTTTATAAGCCTTCTCCAAATTATGACCTATAATAAGTCCCGAAAATCCCGGGATTCATTGGATTTAATCCCGAGATTTTCGGGACTAAAATATGATCGGGATTCCGGGATCCCGGTTTTCGGGATCCCGGGATCGAATCCTCTAGTAGCTACATACCTGATACGGGAAAATAATTCGTTTTCTAAGTAATAGCTTCATATTAAACTGTCAAACACCAAGCGGTCACCGGTGACCGCGACCTATTGTTCTTTAATTGTGTCTATAAAACCGGTACTCGACGAGTTAAAGTACTTTTAATTACTCCATATTAACTACTAGTCTCAAAGCATATTACCTACAAGATTGTAACATAATGCCACATCTTTAATCGTCCAAAAAAAAAGGGAAAGACAGTGATGTCTTCATTATTGATTTGATTTACATCGACCACTTAACAAACGTGCAAAACCATTCCAACGTGCATTGTGCACCATCTTTCCAACACTAGTACGAACCAATACAACTCAATTATACCACTTCAAACTGCTTTATACACATTTCCATTTTACACTGCCACTTCATGAAATAAACTGTGTAATTTTAAATATTTTCTCAAATAATAATTTAATAATAGACCAGAGATGATAATCTGATTTGACTGAAAACGTGGACTGTTACATTTTGGTTTATTAGTCTGTGACTGACAGCCAGCACTTAACATAGTGTGTTCTATTAGAAGGTGCTGTTGAATAATCGTCTCTAGTAAATTAGGTTTGGTCCAAACTGATAAACTTTTTAATAGATATTTTTTTACTGCCTCGTTCCCAGTCGCAAGTGCGTCTGCCGGACAAGGGGTCTCGAGTTCGATTACCGGGTCGGGCAAAGTATTACTGGGTTTTTAAAAAAAATCTCAGTAGTAGCACGGAGTCTGGAATTGTGTCCGGTGTATGGCAATAGGCCAATTAGTAAAAATTGGGTGTTACATTATACAGTGGCATGATGTGCACCTCTGCCTATGTTATTATATTTAACTTTTTACAACACAGACAGTACTTAACGACCCACATCAGACTCCTGTTGCTGCTCCATCCAAAAGGAGTCTGTAAGAAATCGCCTTGTGCGATAAGACCGCCCTTTATACACTATTTTTGTTAATATTGTCCTGTAGTACGATTGTGATTTAATTTAGTTTTTTTATATCTTGAAGTTTGTTAAGCTAGTTCAGAGATGGCGATCAATTGGCACGCGCGCCAATGATGGCACGGAACACAATATTTTGGGCACGACAGTGACCACAACAAAATGCGTTGCCGATTTATAATCATAAAAACTATGATTATAAATCGGCAACTCATTTGAGAATTGTCTACCTAGTATTGTTGGTGTACTTAGACTATAGTGACAGCTTATCATCAGGCCTAGTGTAAACTTTATCGCTACTGCAGTGCTTGGTAATAAGTAGGAGGAAAAGAAGAAATAATATTTTGGAACAATTACAATCTCAATACACATTTCTTCGAAGCAATTGGCACGTGAACGTGTAAATGTTCGCCATCCGTGAGCTAGTTTAACGTATTCCAGAGCACCAAAGCAACCCGTCCATACAGTAACCTCACAACCCTTTGCTTAACCTCTAAGGTTCACATTTCAGATCTGGTGACACAAACTTCATTCACAAGACAATGGCGCCGGAATTTTGGTGGCTTAAATATAGGAAGAAAAATTTGAAACCACGTTACCGTCTGACCACCGAGATGCTGATCAGAAAAAGTCTTAGGGAGACCTTCAAGGAATATATCAGTTGTTCTTCAATATCTGGCGTGAGGCATCTTATTTCTCCGGAAGAACCTATAATGGCAAGGTAAATATTTATTAAGTAATGGCTAATTTTTATTTTAATGTCCGTCTGGCAGATTATTTTAAGACTAGCAAGGCCGAGAATCGAAATGGAGCGGCAGTTCTGTAAATCATTATTTTATTATTAAAATACAATAAATAAAAGTCACAATGTTTCACGGACCTAACTTTAAACATAAAAAAGATATTATTTATCAGCAAATGGGACAAAAGTGGGCGGCCTTTCTAGTGTTAATAAAACATTAGACACGTATTTTTTATTTTCTTATAGAAACAAATACTTTTGACGATATATTGATTTGAAATGTCGCGTGACGTCACTTCTAGGATACGTTTAACACGTAGAAATGACGTTCTCGCTCCCACTCCTAAACGTTGATTCATTTTATCTAAGTATTGTGTTTCTGATATCACAAAAAAACGTGTCAATAGTATTTTTCTATGTTTTTTAATGAATATTTTTTATTACCTAACTGACGGGCTAATTAGATTTTTAATTTTTACATTCCTTCATTAGTCCTTAATACATCATATCTTATACTTATTACCTATATATAAAGATGCAGACTTGGTTTGTTTCTTTGAACGCTTTAATCTCAGGAACGATTTCTATTTGAAAAAATGTTTTTGTGCTGTATAGGACATTTATAGAGAAAAATTTTAGTTCAAAATTATATTAGACCTTGAAAAAATACCAAGGACAAATATGTTTGTAACTAAATGGTCAAAGTAACTATGTAACACGCAAAGATTCCACGTGTACACACGGACGGATACAGATCGACCTATACAAATCCAGTTTATTATAGGTCTCGTTTCGTATGATCGTTCCATACATTCGACGGTCAGCTTATACTGGTTAATCATAACTTCATATGAAGTCGTGTGTACAAAAATCGTGGGCGCTTGTCGCGGAGAACCTAACGGGTAACCGGGGCTCCGCTCGAGGAGAAGGAACGGGGTGGTTTTTAGTCAGTAAGAGTCTGACACTCCCTCCCGCCTCACCTAGGCGGGAGCAGTCATTCAATGATTTTCCCCCCTAAAAAAATAACTGTCACGCGAACTTAACTTCCATTTTTAATAGCTACTAGCTTGTGCACTCGACTTCGTACGCGTAATTCCGCTTTTCCCGTCCCCGTTCATGATTTTCGATAAACAGGTATTATATATTTCCGTCTCCTAGTTCTAAGCTACCTCCCCACAAATTTTCATCCAAATCGATTTAGCCGTTCTTGAGTTATAAATAGTGTAACTAAAGCTTTTTTTGATATATATGTACGTACTATAGATGTGTTTTGACTTAATTAGTTACAGCCATATTAAAAACTCTGATTTTTTTTTATTATTAAAATTTTAATTAAGAGTTAAGAAACTGTTTCGTAATATACCTAATTACTAACTTGCTAATTTAAATATAAAAGAATGTAGCCGTTTATCGCGCTAATAACAAGAAGTGGTAGTCCAGTTTGAAAAAAAATCATTTACAAATTAAATTTTATTATTGTATGTACCTACTTATATTTAAAAGTTTATAGTGTAACATCACGCTAACACACTAAAGAACGTAAGCAGTTGCTCATGTAATCAGTCGAGCATCAAACAATCCAGGGAATTCCGTGATATGTTACGAATTAGCAAATATTCTTATGCCTTAGGCACTGAACTTAGGTCAAACATGATACCTGTTATTCTTACTACTAATAACACCAACATAATATAACATAACGCTTTTCATCCCCGAAGGGGTAGGAAGATGTGCCTTACTGCCATTACGGCACTTAATGCCACTGTTCAATGTAACTCCCTCTTATCCATATACCGGGCCTATTGCCATATACAGGGCATAATTCCAGACTCCTTGCTACTACTGAGATTTTTTTAAAACCCAGTAATACTCTGCCCGACCCGGGAATCGAACCCGAGACCCCTTGCCCGACTTGCGACTACTCGGCTTGCGACTGCCTCGTTGGCACTCTAATAATAGCACCAATAACAGATAAAATGCTACTCTTAGGTATTATATAGATATTACTTATATTTTCAATAACTGTCAATGACAAAATAGCAGAGCCGTATTATCCCTACGGCAAACTGAATAAGAGCCTAGGGTAGCAGGTCGCAGAGGAGCGCCGTGAGATGTGTGCCCAACTGCTCATAGAATGGCAGCGGCGCCTAAAAAACATATGTGTTGTTTGCGGAAAGAAAGAAAAAGCATTTATTCAGCACCAGGCATGATGCAGCATAAATACAATATAAAAAAGATAATAAAATTGTGACAGTGGAAGAGGGATAAGGCTCTTTCTAAGTTTAATTGACCTCTGCAAAGTAGGCTTTTATTTGATCTGTGACTGTGATTTTGATTGTATCTGTGATTCTGTGATTTCCCCGCGAGAACGAGAGCAACTGTTATCTGTTATATCTGTACCTAGTTACTACCTAATACCTGTTACTTATAACTACCTGTGATGATAAATACACCTCATGACTATTTCTTACAATATAAAATTTATTGAGTCCTATAAGTAATTTTAATCTTTTTTCTATTACTTGCATGATAATTATTAATTGGGAACGATTAATTTATGGATGAATTGGCAGCTTGCAGGGCGGCTCCTGTAAGCTATCACTTATCAGACCCGATCTGACAGTCGTATTAAATTTATTAGAAAACCACACAAACGGCATATGATGTTCACATTTAATAATTCAGTCTTTGAAATATATTTGCTGTTAAATGTCACGCTACAGTCTATACTAAGTTATGATATGAATATGACACACTTCATTAATTTTTTCTTTTTATTGTCACTGGCAGCAGGGGCGTAGTTAGCGCCGTATCAGCCGTATGAATTCTATGGGGCTGGGGCCCCAAAATACGGGGCCCCCAACGTGTGTAAACAAAAATGTAAAAACTTCTCAATTTAGGTATATTTTATTTTAAAAATCACAAAATTCATTCAGTAACCTCAATAACACCACATAATAAAAAGAATCATCATGTGAGGTTTCCTGAAAGGCTGCTATAACTCCGGAGCCTAACCGCCTCATTCGTAGCACAGCATGACTCTCCCACATGAAGAATATCTTTCTTTCTTTTCAGACTATGCACGTTTGTCATGCTATGCTGCCTCTTCTCCACCATACAGTACTATTTGTACCACACCTGGTCGGCAACACTTTCAAACCCACTGGTGGTGTCTGGAGAATCGTTTACTTACCCCATCAAGGACATTGACTTCCCAGCAGTGGCTCTGTGCAATACCAACCGGATCAGCAGAAAAGCACTGAAGAAAAAGGCTTCGGAAATGTGAGTATAATTCAATAGGTTAGATACCTCATTTTTATTTTAATGTCCGTCTGGTAGATTATTTTAAATCATTAGACACGTATTTAATACTTTAATACTTTCGACAATATATTGATTTGAAATGTCGCGTGACGTCACTTCTATGTACATTTTATAAGTAGAAATGACGTTTTAGCCCCCACTCCTAAAGTTTGGTTCGTTTTATCTAAGTATTGTTTTAATATACAACAAAATAAAAATACGTGTCTAATATTTTTTATTACCTAACTTACGGACTATTTACTTAGATTTTTAATTTTCATACCCTGTCATCATCCCAATTGTTTTACATCTCAGCAGATTTGTCCAAAATTTTGCGACAAAGTGTTGTCTAGTTTGGTTGACAGAATGAACATTTTTGCAAGGTGCTCCTGAAAAGCCTGGTCTAGAAATATATCAATTTAGGCCCAATAGTTGCCTTCCGGGCAGAAAACGATTGTTTTTTTGACGAATTTCGTCCTCTATTTCATTACCTATTTTATCATTCACAAAGCCAACAAAGCCAAACAATTACAAGAAACTGTCACTAGATGGAGCTAATGTAGTTTTTTGTTCTAATCACATCATCCAATCACAACTGCATCAAAAATTGAACATCTAATGGTGAGAAACTAGCTAATTCCCTATTGGGCGCCATCTGTTCAGCAAAAATACGGTAGGCCCATTAATACCTCTGATTTATTGATCCTAAACTATGAATTAAACAGCATAGTATTAGTCATCCCACTTGCATTTTCTAGACCAAGGAGCAAACACAGGTTTTCCATAACATTCACTTTCATAACTATAATAATTATAGCGGTTTAATACGTTAGAAGTTAGAAAAAAAAACCGAATATACATAATAAATCCATTTATCTTCAGCCGACGCTTAGATTCGCATGCTATGTGATACTATGTTTTGCACTTAGACAACTTACAGCCTGTTCTAATACTTACAATTTACTTTCTATGTTAATGTGTAGATTTTTTCTTAGAAACTTCTTTGGGGTCATGGTTATATAGTTGAAAACAAATGAAAGTGCGTCGTCTTTCTTGGTAGGTGTAGGGACCTTAAGTAGAATAATAAAATTATGAGAAAATCCTAGTCTGAGGCAAAAACTACTACAAAAGATGACGTGAAATATAGCTACATCTAAATAGGTATTTGTTTATCACAAGGCTTTTAATCATTGTGCCGATAGTCGTGTCGGCTAATGGGTTAAATCCCTAAAAGCCTCGACATCCATCTCAGGAGGCTGGCGTTAGGTGGATGGATCAAGGGCCTGATACAGAAGGCAGTTCTCCTTGAAACGGCACGTATCGTGAGGAGGTTTCTGTCTCTGGAGCCCTAACCACCGGTAGCTTGGACCATGCTCCCGCTACTGGTCGGCTCCTATTTTTTATATTTTTAAATATTTTTTTTTTATTTTGTAAGTAGTATTTAGAAATATAATTTATAGAAAATTTTAAATAAATATATGGAAACCATAATATTATAAAGTTTGTTCCCAATAAGCTATTGCGGAATCGGTAAAGTGTAAATAGAAGTGCAGGTTGAAGTTATATTGATTTTCAGGTATCCGAAATTGAGTAAACTGAACAATTTAACCCTTCATAAATTGGAGCGTATCCTGCAACTTATGGGACAACTGATTAATTTTGAAAAGAACCCGTCAAACCTTTTTGATAGTAAATTGATTGACGAATACGATAAGGTATTCGGTTCTGAAACTGTGGATATAATGAAGGCGGTGAGTTTGTAGTTTTGTACATAGTATGTATTATACCAAAAAGTAAATACCTGAGATCTCATAAGCTGTGTACCTACCTAAATATTGTTTTATAACTTATTTGTCAAAGACACCATCTCTCTGCATAAGTAGTTGCCTGTGTTATTGCCAAAGAAGTGTAATGGCAATGGGTCTTAAGTTTTGTTGCCTAGTCGAACCAAGCTTAAGATTTCATATTGGGTTTTCACAAAAAGAAAATTGAACAACCTATTTTTTTTTTGGACAGGACCACTCGTAGTTCAGCACGCTAAGGCTGTTTACTACTTAACCGGTCAAAAAAGTTGTGGCCCACTCTTAATCTTGATGACCATACAATATATTAACTATGTATTACTTGTTTAACCTTAGTTAGCGCCAAGCTGTGATGAAATGCTCCTCAGATGTTTATGGGGAGGCAAGTCAGTGAATTGCAGCAGTATCTTCCAAGTCCGGAGAACTATGCTGGGTCATTGCTGTGCATTCAATTATGTACTGGAATATGGTTCTGCCGATAGGTAAGTTTAAATTTTTCAAGCTTTTAAAAGTGGAATTCTTTGCCAGAGTCTGTGTTTCCTGTAGTGTAACAACCTGGGTGTCTTCAAGGCCCGAGTGAATGGGTTGCTTAATGGCAGACGTACTCCATCGTAGGCCGCATCATCGATTACAACCAGGCGAGATACCAGCACAACGTCGGCCCATAAAACATTTAAAAAATTAAAATTAAAGGATTTTTATGACATAGAGCTGCAGCTGCAAACAAGTATAAGATTCACCTGATGGTAAGCAATCGTTATGGAATTAACGATGAGAGGATGATTGGGCCTTCGCGTTGACCGACGAAACACAGTGCAAACATTGTTTCATGCCTTATTGTAAAGCCGTTGTATCACTCCGGTACAAATCATACAGATATGCTATTCTTATTCTTATTACTTATACTATAACATGAATACCTAAAGCTGAAGATTTTGTTAGTTTGTTTAAACCTCAGCTCCGGAACTACTAGGGGCGTACTCCTGAATTCAATTCCGATCGATCGACATTGGTATTGTGATGTGTGGCACTCTTGAGTTGCAAGTGCAACACTAGCGCCCATTGCCGTCCGTATTGCGTGGATATTGAATGAACTAAATGTATTGAGTTGGGCTTTATATTCCGTACTCTGAATGCTATTTTAACAGCTACGATAGGTGTTGTGTAGTGTTGATATTGAATAATTATTGAAATTTTATTGGATTGAAACTGCATTGACATTGAGATTGGTTTCAAGAGTACCTAAGCACCCTGGTCGGATTTGGATAATTATTTTATTTATTTATTTATTCATAAACAAATTTACATTTGTGTCGAATACGGTTTTGAACCAAAATTAAAAATAATCACATAAAAATCAAGAAACTCAGGTAAAAGCAATACAATTCAATTAAAATAAAACACAATCATACACAAATTAAATGCATACATAAATAAAAACTTCATTTAACTTATTAATAATTTCAAAACAACATACGAGTAATTTAATTACATGTCAACAAATAATTTAAATGTGTCAGATTGGAATACTAAATATAAAATAAGTCACTAGTATAATCTCAATTTTAGTATCAACTATGTTTATCTTTCAGAAACTCCTCAATGCTGTAATAACATTTCCTCAATAACAATGTCTTTAATTTTCTCTTAAACTCATTTAAATTAGTGGAGCTTTTCAATTGTACAGGCAGCTTATTGTAGATATTTACTGATTGCACTCTTGAAGCATGTTTAATGACATTAAGTTTAGGCTGTATGGAATTCGATAGGTCCTTTCTTCGAGTTTTTACTCTAATATGTCTCTGATCCTCAGTTTCGAACTTATGGATATTTTTAATGAAATGACTGAGCAACACCAAGATATAAAGGCACGGTACTGTGAGAATTTGGAGTTTTTTAAAATGATCTCTGCAAGACTGTGTTTGTTCTATGCGAAGCATAGTTCTCAAGGCTCTTTTCTGCATAACGAAAGCAGCATTAATGTTATAATGGTAACTGTTACCCCAGAACTTTATGCTATATCTAAGTCTAGACTCTATAAGTGCAAAATAAACCATTCTGAGGTGAGAAATGGTTAGTTCATCCCTTAGACTGCTAAGAGCATAACAAGCACCACTCATAGTGTTTGTGACCACTTCCAATTCCCTTTTCCAATTTAAAAGTGCATCTATCTGTACCCCCAAAAATCTTACATTGTCTACAATATCTACCTGATTCCCCAATAGATGTACTTTGACGGTATCCTTGTTCTTTGCTGTTGATTTGAATAATAAACATTGCGTTTTGTGTTTAATAAATACATTTATTGAGTAAAGTTGTACTTAAATGTTTGTTATCCCTCAGGCCTAAAGGCACGATAGGTACTGTAAAGAGGCAAATAGTGCCCGGTTTGATGAACGGCCTGAGAGTGATAATTGACGCCATGGTTGATGACTACGCATACCCGCTGCATCAGTATAGACAAGGATTTGACGTAAGTTACATTATTAGTGTACCTACAAATAAGTACAAGTAAGTTAGATTATGATTATGACTGCCTCATTGGCCGAGTGGTCGCAAGTGCGACTGCCGAGCAAGGGGTCTTGGGTTCGATTCCCGGGTCGAGAAAAGTATTACTGGATTTTCAAAAAATATCTCAGTAGTGCCACGGAGTCTGGAATTGTGCCCGGTATATATGGCAATAGGCTCACCCCCTATTACATGGGACTCATAACATAAATAGTGAAAAGTCGGTGTTACATTGTACAGTGGCATTAAGTGCCGCAATGTGCACCTCTGCCTACTCCTTCGGGGGTAAAAAGGCGTGATGTTATGTAACTACGATTATGAGAAATTCACGAAATTTATTCACACCAAACTAGTCTCTAAACGTTGGGAACAAGGTCTATAATGAAGTGAATTGAGAGAGGACACTCGTCCCCAGTCGGGAATTTAGAAGAGTGCAAATGTGTTGCCACAACTTTCACCTAAAGTAAGGCTTTCGTAAAAAAGATAGCTAACTAAAGCCCTAACTGGTGGATAACATTATGTATTTACTTAAAATGTATTTCAATATGTGTTACACAGCAACTTAATCCATGTAGATGACACAGAAACTTTTTCAAGAGCTACAGCAGCGCCATCTATAACAAGCAAGTGTCTGTTGTTTGTTCCTCTGTCTCTCAAAATAGAAAAGAAATAGCTGTGAAGCGTGAAAAGGGATTTTTAATATTATACGTTCAAAATAAAAACAGTTTATATAGCGTAAATGCTAGAGACACACAAATTACATTAATAACAATATGATGCGTGCTAAATAAAATAATATACTGGGCGCACTGTCATAAAGAATAGTGTTGCTCCATTATTTTTTTGCAAGTCGATAAACTGTTTTGAATATTTATTTCTGATCCGTTTGCAGGTTCTTGTATTTAATTCATATCATTTCGCTGATACGACTGGCGGGAGAGTACTGCAGCGCACAGTTCAACCTAGTCAAGCTGAGTACTATCTTTTATCGTCAATCAAACAAGTGGCCGCAGCGGAAGTTCGGAAATACCCTATAAAAACAGTATTAAGCCACAATATTATTATTTATTCAAACGTTGACCTATTAAGTATCTTATACAATTTTTTAATTATATAAAGGTGAAGAGTTTGTTTGGTTGTTTATTAGAACGCGCTATTCTCCAGAACTACTGGTTGAAATTGAATAATAATTTTTTTAATGGATATTTCCATTCATTGAGGAAGGCTTTAGGCTATATGTAAAGATATAAGAGCGGGTGTAAGTTTACTGGAGTTGCTAGTACAATATAAGAACAGAATCTACTTTTTCCTACTAATAAAAGTCGTTCCTTTGTTTCTTCCATTTCTATTTTCCTATTCTGGTAATCACCATATACTGGTGGCATATAATAACTAATACGATTGATATAGCATTAAAATTCTTTAAATTTATTAATACGTTTTTTTACAGAGACAGTGCCTATTTCATAAAGATTTATCTCAGATGTACAACAATTTTTATTCGTATAGTAGTTGCATAACCAGCTGTCGGATTCAAACAGTAGAAACTCTGTGCAAATGTACCCCGTACTTTCTGCCAAGTAGTTCTGGATTACCAACATGTACACTGAAGAATTTAAATTGTTTGCACAAATATAAAGGTACTTATAATCTAATAATACCTACTAAAATTACTAAAATTTACTGATGGGCAGGAAATATTAACACTAAATGAAATTAAATGAAATCTTATTGCTCCCTTATTTTGATACAATTACTAAACATATTTTAGAGAAACATTTATACATAAGACGGAGACAAGTCCCAAACTAAATTAGAGATTTGTATAATGGGCCTCCTGTCCCTCCACATCTGGGCACGATAATATTTAAACTGTTAGAATTATGTTAATATTACGGAGTGAAATTGGCTGTGTTAATAGGTGTGTGTGTATATGTGTGCAAGTATATGCAAATATGTGTGTTTAAAAGTACTTTAGTGGGTACGTTATTAAGTATATTTGTGCTTGATAAGAAGGTTTTCAGTATATGTGATCTCTGCGTAAAAGGTGAATAATTTGTTGCAATAATACAGGGTGACTTGTAACTCGACGTATTCCTCTCAGGAGGTGATAATACAACTAATTACCTGAAAATTTGCCCTGAGGTCCCTGGTCAGAAAGTGGCTAGTTTTTGAGATATTAAACATTTTTAGTTTTTGTCAAAAATCCCGAATTGTCTACAAAAACATCAAAATATAAAAAACTACGGGTAGCTTAAATTAATAAATTCCGAAAATAAAGACGCGCATTGAATTTCACGATACATTATTAATTTCATATTTTACAGATAAACTACGGTATTTGTACCCAAGAGCCGCCGAAGGTAATGAAGCGCTAAAAGAAGAATTAACAGTCTCAATGTACTGTCCCAAATGCTGGCCAGACTGTGAATTAACCGATCATTCTATCAAATCATACAAAATTAACCTTTTTAGAACAGGACGACCGGGATTTAGAAACAGTTTCCTGTTAGTAACTTTTTTATTTTTCTACGTTCTAATTTCGAGGACATCCAACATAAAGGAAAATAAAAAATAGCTACCGTTGGACAGCCGGTTTAGTATTATTCTGCGTAAGTTAAATACATATCTTATTTTTATTTAAAAAGTATTGTCTGTCTAACAGTGCCGGCCTGGACCTAACGAACAAAAGCATAATAAGTGTATTCCAGCCTACAGGAGAAGGCGTGTTACATCGCCTTGATGTGGTTTCCTACTGGTACGAGATACTAAGTGAGAACAAAACTTAATAATTTATCGTCATTTTCATTTATATTATCTACCCATTCGTCATAAAGCACAGTCACCTAAACATTGCCATAGTAAATGACACTATTCCCAAAATTAAAACAGATTTTATTTGTCATTCCATTCTATTTTATTTTACTATAACATAAGTACAAAATGACGAAATTTGTTCCAGGTAACATCGGCAGTTTCGCGGGCGTGTTGATGGGGATTGGCATCTTTACATTCGTTGAAATTATTTATTTTATGTTCATTCGATTTTTTCAAATAATGTACAGTAATTATGTAACATATAATAAATAAATATCGAGGGGTAACGGGCTATTTGGTTTAAGCGACATTTTGGGCGATATTGAGTTATATATATATTCGGAATCAGCGAATTTTTCTCCGTCGAATGATGCCGGTTTCATTAAAATCGGAGCACTTTTTTGGCGTTTCAAACAATTCTATTTTCATGTTGTTTCCAAAGTGGCAGTGTATTAAACGACATGGATTTCGCATTTTTTATTAAATTATGTAGTTGAACCATACCATCATATTAATAACCGAGACATAAACCAGTCACCCTATCTCTAATTATTAAGTCAACATGAGTTAAAGCGTTTTTCTTGTTTCTAATTTTTATTGACAAGTAACTTGAATCATTTTGACTTCCCACTAATCACACGGTGTGATGTCGCTTAAAACATTTGTCCGTCATCCAAATGCGTCATGGTACGTCTCTTAAACATTTCTAGCTGCCTCTATTTTCTACGCAGGGTGCTACTTAAACCAAATAGTTGTTTTCGTTTAGATATTTTGTTTAGTCATAAACCATTTAACCCTCTTTTTTTTTAAATGCATGTCGTTTTATACAGACGATAACATTGATAATGAATATTGAAACATTTTTCCAGTATTCATAGAAATACGAGTCGGTCTTTCAATCACTAAGTTTTAATATGGTACATTTCAATCATGTCATATGATACCATATTTATTTCATCGCCCTGGTGTTAAAAATCGTTATCATCCAACTGGACTATCGTGCGCTGGCGCTTCAGTCACTCCAGAGTGCGCCGAAGACAGACGGGACGCGCGCACACCGCCAGTGTTTACGTAAAACGCTCATCGAAATTGAATCCTAAGTACTTTAATTTCAAGATGAACTTTGGCAACAATGACAATTTAAGGGCTATTGTGGAGGAGGTTGATGACATACAATCTACGGCTGATTTAGCAACAGCTTTCGACGTTAGCGTCAAAACAATATTGGTACATTTGCGTCAAATTGGCAAGGTAAAAAAGATTGATAAGTGGGTGTCCCACAAACTAAATGATCAACAGAGCTAAGTATGCATCGAGCAGTGCGAGGGGGACTGGGATGCCGTCTCCTCCTTTTGCGAAGCAGTTATGCTAGCTAAGGAGGAGGCGGGACGCGTGAGGCAGCGAAGCGCTGGCTCCTCGCAACCCAGCCATCGCGAAGGACACACCTGGCGTCGGGGATCGCGGGACGATCTCCAGTTACCGTAAGCGCGGGCCTGTGGACGGTGAGCATGGGTGGCTCCCCGTCCGACCAGAAACAGACCCGAGCGTACGGGGCGTCGCGTTCCGCGCGCGCCTCAAAGAGCCATCAGACCACCACAGATGGGGCCCAACAGGGTCGATGCCGATTCGGAGTCGCGGAGAACCTAACGGGTAACCGGGGCTCCGGCTCGACGTGCAGGAGAAGAAACGGGGTGATTTTTAGTCAGTAAGAGTCTGGCACTCTTACCCGCCTCACCCAGGCGGGAGCAGTCATTCGATGATTTTCCACCCTTAAAAAAAATGCATCGAGTAGTGCCTTGCACTGCACTGCTCAATATACACACAAATGAAAGAATTTTGATTTGCATTGTCACCTCCGATGAAAAATGAAATCTGTGTGATAATCACACGCGTTTAGCATGTTGGTTGAATCCTAGTTCAGCGCCTAAACAATGCCCTAAACGAAAACTTACCCCTAGAAAAGTGATGGTCACTGATGGTCTAGCGCTCGCGCTATTCTGATTCATCACAAATTCTTACCAAACGGAGTGAGCATTACTACGGATGTGTAGTGTGAAGAACTGAACACAATGATGGAGAAGCTGACACATCTCCAACCAGCATTGGTCAATCGCTAATCTCCATTGCTCCTGCATTACAACGCGCGACCTAAAGCTGCACAAGAGACGGCCTCCACGTTACAAGAACTGGGGTTGTGAAGCTCTCCGACATCCACCCTACTCACCAGTCACCAGACTACTTCTTTTTCCAGAATTTGGATAACTTCTTGGCGGGAAAAAATTTAATAACCGAGAGGCAGTACAAAATGCATTTGAAGAATTTGTTGCTACCCGTCCAGCTGATTGAAGAAGGGCATCAATAAACTGCCACTGCGTTGGCAACGATGCATTGATTGCATGGGTGATTACGTTGATTATACAAATAAAAAATACATGAAAAAATCGTTTAATTTTTTCATACAAAACGGCAATTTCAGTAAATGACCCATTAATTTAATTGATTTTGCTGAAATATAATCGATATTCCTATTGAAACTGTAATTATTACTCTAAATAAATACTTTGATATTGTTATTGTGTGTGTGTTTATTTATTCAATGTAAGCATCTAAGATTTTCGGTGATTGCGATATATCCAGGTTGTTTTATCAGCCATTAATCGCCTTAGATGTAAATAAACATAAACATTAAACGTTATAATTTCAATGTTATTTGTCACATAAGTAAATTAGCCTGTCACTCATTTTAGTTTGAATTGGTAGTTAAGATAAATAGCTTGCTTCTATTAATTTTGGGTGTCGTCACTTCATATTTTTTAGCTTACTCTGTAAATAGAGTGCATTGTCGCTTAATTTTTTTCCCTTGTAGCCAGTTGTAGTTATGAAGTCACTTAAATCATTTTTCCTGACTCTAAAAAAGGGCAGATTGTATTAAGCGACATTTATCTTTGTAATTAAAGGTCCGCTTTATTTAGAATTAGCATCAGCAACTAGATAATTTAATTTAAATTTCAATGCAATTTACCCCGTTCAAATAACTGCAGAAACGTTTTTGTTACGAATTTTTTTTCGAAATTTCAAACTTTAAAAGGCTCTCCTGTAAAGTTGCAAAAATGTCGCTTAAACCAAATAGCCCGTTACCCCTCGATATAATGTCGATAGTACCGAATTTTTATGAAGTCATTCCCATCACTAATACAGCGTTTACAAAGTTAGCTAATGATAAATTTAAAAAAATGTTGTGGAGATGAACCAAATAATTACTTACAACATGAATGTTTATTTACGAAAGCTTATATATAGCTGCCTCACTTATTACATGATTTGTACTAATTATAATTTACTTTAATACAATTAAATGAAATAAGTGAATCCATATTATCTCATTCCAATAAAAGTACACCAGACTTGATAATTACATCGCTATCGATAATAACCAGTCTTATTTAAAATGATAAACAATATAATATGTATAGTCAATAAATTAGGAGTCATCATCGAAGTCGAACAAAGTACAAGATAAAAATAACTTTAAAGCATAAACATTTGTACAAAATATCAGTGCAACGCAAACTGTATTCAAGAATGCGCCTTCATTATCTGTCAAATAAACCGTGGCAAAAGTGGACAAAGGTTTCGAGTCGCAATTTCATTTATTTACGCAAAATGTCTGCAAATTCTCCGCCTGGAAAGAGTGATGGTGAGATATTATTGCTTAAGGAACATTTCTGGATGATTATATTACGATATTGTTGCAATATTTTGGTTTGATTATAGGGGATGACCCTGTGGATCAGTGTGTGCCGAGCGTCCCGCCAAATCCTGTGGAGAGCTTAGGAGCTCGTATTAGGGACTTGGATGTTGATTCCATTCGTCGGTATTTGGCACAGAAACTCGGATTTTACGAGCCGCCAGAAACAAGCGCGCCTGTTGATCAGGTCTTGGATGAAGTCAACTTAGACGGCATTGTGAAATGGATTAAAAGTGAACGATGCAAAAATATAATCACTCTGGCCGGGGCGGGTATTTCAACATGTAAGTGTAAAAACTTTAATTTAATTCTACAACAAATCCTATGTTATTCAAATATTATCTTGTTTACAATTGAGTTTATTATTATTTACTATTTTGTCTATGTATATGTTATTATTCATTTGCATAACAATGTTTTCTGGTTAAGGTGAACCATAATTTCTATTTAACCCTTTGGATATTACATTAAACCATCACAGCATCATTGGAATCAATATTTGATAAATTTAAATCAAAATTGTGTTTGATTTCTAAGAGATAATAATATATTTTACAAACAGGCATAATTATACTATATCCAAAACATTAATCATATTGGAATAATAAATAAGTAAACAATTCCTATATTTTCTGTGAACCTGAACCACAGCTAACTAATTTATATCGCTATAAAAAAGGTAGTGGAAAATTAATATATCATTGTTTATTCCGCCAAGGTCATATGTGTTTTGATGGAAACTTTATGATTTTGTTGTGTAGCTATGAGGAAGATAAAACACACTCTCTTATTTTAATCAACTTGTTAACATTTATTAGGGATGATGATGGTATAAAAATCAAAAATCTAATTAGTGCATCGGTTAAGTAATGAAAAAATAAGTAAGTAAATTAATCTAAGTTTAGGAGTGCGAAATAACCACGTCATTTTTTAGTATGAAACACATACACAAAACTTACTTACTTTTTTGGCAATATTTGCGAGTTTTTAGTCATTAATTTACCTATTTCAATGCAAGTCATGTGTTTTCATGTGACTCTGACATTAAATTGACTCATTTATATTTTGTATTGCTAATAAATTCTCTAGGCATTAAATAATTATATTATATATTTAATTTTTTTGGTTGAAAATTTCTAGTTAAAAATCCTAGACAAACAAAAATATAAAGCTTATTAAAACAAATATGTGTGAATTCAATATTTGCAAAACAGGAAATATTTGAAGATTTGAGTGACTCTTGAAAAGGTTTTATCAAAATAATTTTGTTAAAAATAATCTGTATTACAGCGGCAGGCATCCCGGACTTCCGTAGCCCAGAAACGGGTCTCTACCACAACCTTCAAAAGTATGATCTACCAGAACCACAGGCTATATTTGAGATAAATTTCTTCAGACAGAATCCCAAGCCATTCTTTATGCTAGCCAAGGAATTGTATCCCGGAAGCTTCAAACCTACAATCTCACATTATTTCATAAGGCTTTTACATGAAAAAGGTATGTCCATTTTGAAAATCGTGTTAAAACTCATAGAATAGGGTTGAGGGCTACTTCGAAGACCACTTACAAGCAAAGAGTCATCAACAAGTAAGAAATTCCATTCAGTACTCTTTTTTAAAAAAAGTATATTCTACAATGTCTCTAATACATATTCCAATCCTCTATGCATATGTGAGAATAATGCAAAGACATGCTTGATGCATTAAACAAATTACAAAACTTACTAAAATAAAAAAAAACAAAACAAAAAAAAAATCTTATAGTCTAACATGGTGATCACATTATGCATACTGACAATCCATAAAAATAGTGCTTCTACACAAGAAAAAGGAAACTTTGTTTCATTAAAAAAGAATCCAACATATATATTCTCTGATTATTTCTCAGGTCTATTACTTCGCCACTACACCCAAAACATAGACACTTTGGAGCGAGGAGCTGGCATTCCTGAGGAGAAACTAGTGGAGGCTCACGGCACCTTCTATACTTCACACTGTCTCGACTGCCGCAAGGAATATAATCTTGAATATGTCAAAGGTAACTTATTAACTAATTTTTGATATGTGGAGCAAAAACTGCACAAACACTTGCATACATTTTGACTAATCAATTTTCTGTTGCAAAAAAATCAAGTAGTAGAAATACCACTTTAAAAAAAGAAAGAAAAAGACAGTTCAAGTACATGTTACAATATTTTCTTCATATGGTGCCAATAGGATAGATGACCAATTATTATTTTAATGTCCGCCTGGTAGATTATTTTAAATCATTGGACACGTGTTTTTTATTTTTTACAGAAACGAATACTTTCTATGATATATTGATTTGAAGTGTCGCGTGACGTCACTTGTATGTACATTTTTTCCGTAGAAATGACGTTTTAGCCCCCACTCCTAAACTTTGATTCGTTATATCTAAGTATCATTTTCGTTCGTTATATCTGATTCTCATCTTAATAATTGATATATATCTTTCAGAGCGTATATTTGCGGATCAAATCCCAATCTGCACGGATTGCCCAGGTGTCGTGAAGCCAGATATAGTGTTCTTTGGAGAGAGCCTGCCTGACCGGTTCCAACGGTGTCTGCAAGAAGACTTCCAGCAATGTGACATGCTCATCATCATGGGTTCCTCGCTTGAAGTCCAGCCTTTTGCCTCACTTATTGATATGTAAGTTAGACTATGATGTTAAACTGTTTTACCATGCCATAAAGTGGCCTTTGGTTTGCTTACTTTCTTACGATTCTGTACAAGTCTAGGCTCTATGCCATTGGAGCCGTGGAGGGCCTACGGATTGTCCGGTTTCCAGCTTGAAGTGCAGGAGAAGGAAAGGGGTGGTTTTTAGTCAGTAAACGTCTGACACTCCCTCTCTCCTCACCCTGGCTGGAGAATGTCATCGGATGATTTTACCCCCTCAAATAAAAGGCTCTATGCCGTTAAAGAGATATGTCATATTCCAATTACCCAGGAATACTCTGAAATCGAACGTACTGGTTACTGATCTGTATCTTCATCGTTTTATTTTAATACCTTCAGTTGCCGTGCGTGTATGGCTAGCCTTTGCTTTGCTTTGGGATATTTAGTTAACAAGCTGATGCTTAGGAACCTCAATTGTTTGAAGTTTCTTTACTTATAAAAACAGCCTTTTTCTAGCAGTATGTTATTATACTTGTATAGGGTTCCGGACTGGTGTCCCCGACTGCTGATAAACCGTGAGAAGGCAGGAGTGAGGTCTCCGTTGTTGCGTCTGTGGGGAGTGATGAGTGGAGGCCTGCAGTTAGATGAGGATGCTGTACGAGATGTAGCCCGCCTTGGAGACTGTGATGATGGATGCCAGGATCTCGCTGATAGACTCGGATGGGGGGTAAGTTATTTTATTAGATCCTATTAATAGTGTGCCTGTTCATCTTGAAGGAGTAAATGTAACCTAAGTTCTTAACAGTTCTGAATTGTATGTATCAAGGATCTATGACTGTAAACTTGGCATAGTTCTTATCCGTCCCTTGAATAAAGTTCGAAACTTGTGCTCATGGGTTGTGCTTGCGACTAAGGAACCAACGAGGCAGTCTTCGGGACAATGTAGAATATTAACATAACACATAACATCACGCCTTTTATCCCCGAAGGGGTAGGCAGAGGTGCACATTATGCCACTGTACAATGTAACACCCACTTTTCACTATTTATGTTATGAGTCCCATGTAATAGGGGGTGAGCCTATTGCCATATACCGGGCACAATTCCAGACTCCGTGTTACTACTGAGATTTTTTTCTAAACCCAGTAATAGTTTGCCCGATCCGGCAATCGAACCCGACGCAACTAGGATGAAGAATATGTAATAGTAATATTTGTTTTATACATATATTACTAGTTGCTATCATCAAAAACAATTATTGACTTTAAATCTTTCCTAGGATGAGCTTCGCGCGTTAGTAGCGAGCGAGCACGCGCGTTTGGATCTCGCTAATGCCTTGTCTACGCCCCATGCGTCGTGCGTGCCACCTACCCCGGCACCCCTGCTCACACCGCCAGCAGACCCCAAACTATGAGTACAGACTTAAACTTTATTAGGTCTTTATCTATGAAATTACCGAAAAAAATGCAATTTCATTGATATAACCTATTATTTATTATATTAGCTAAACGGCCTGCTTCACTTAATGACAATCTACTTAAAAGTATAATTAATTATATTATGTATACAACTTTAGCTATCTAAATTGAAATTGTTTATTGACCATATACACCAATAAAATAAAAAAGTACGAAATGTACCATTGCTGATGAATATTAATTCACATCTACTATGACAAAATTATTATAAAATAGAAATCTCTGGGATAGAAAAGACTGTGCGTATTGTTTGTAATCGATATATCACTTAGTTTTTTTTTATTTATGCTTATGGAATGTATATGGAATTTCATTAATAAACAGTGAAGTAGGCCTCATGGGTAACTGGATTTTAGAGTGTTAACTTTGTTTTCAGTCAGATATATGAGTTAAATAAATAATAAAAAAACAATATTTTCCTTGCAACACTAAAGAGAAAATATTGGATGAGAAAAAATTGTAAACTGACTTAAAAATCCACAAATATAATACTTATGGATTTATTTTTTTTAAAAGATCCATAAGAACTAGGTACTTACCATAGTTGTGATCGAAATGGACTTATCATTGACATTTTTAATTTATTGTTTTTATTTTTATTCAACATAATTATTATTCCAGATTGATACAAATTAGAAAAGTAGGTAGAGAGGCTGTATACCTTTAACTTGTGCCTCAAAAAGTAATTTATTTACGGTTTTTAGTTATTTATTTTTTATTTATTGCAGTTACATTTTGGGTTAGCAATTTTCATGGATTTAAATACGTTTTATTTGATATTGCATGTTGTTTAGTTTCGACATTAATAAGTTACCAATAGACATGGGCTTCCCGACTTAACGATATCCAAATTTTTATGTATTTAGTAGATTTCCGAGTACCAATTTTTTATAGGCTACCAAAATTTTTAGTGGGTTACGCTGAAATATTGAAACGGCACTGAATTTTAAGTCGTGCTTAAGTATAGTTCTGTCTCTACAAATTCTTTGTAAAATGACAGAGATGGCACGATATTTAAGTACAACTTAAAGTTGAGTAGCCTTTCAGTATTTGGGGATTAATGTTTTATTTCTAGAGCTGTGTTAGCAATACTTGTATTAAATATGATATCAATGTTTAAATATTTTTGACTAACTTAGGGCCGATTTTTCAATCATCAGTTAATTCTTAACTATAGAATAAAATTGACATTTGACAGTTATTAGTATGGAAGAATAAGGATGATGACAGGGTATGAAAATTTAAAATCTAATTAGTCCGTCAGTTAGGTAATGAAAAAATACTAGACACATATTTTTTAATGATACTTAGCTATCATAAAGGGTTGTGGGCTAAAACGTCATTTCTACGTATAAAATGTTCATAGAAGTGACGTCACGCGACATTTCAAATCAATATATCGTCGAATGTATTCGTTTCAGTAAAAAAATAAAAAACCGTGTGTAATATTTTAAAATAATCTACCAGACGGACATTAAAATTCAAATTAGTCATCTACCCTATTGTCAAATATTCAAAGTTATTCCTCTGATAAAATTTAACTGAGCATTGAAAAATTGGCCCTTAGACAGTAAATAAAGTACTTCTATAATCATTACTGAATACAAATTGTGTTGCCTTAACTATGTATTTATATTGCAGATCAGGGTGATGATCTAGCAATATAAAAAAAGATGAATGTAAATTATGGTCATAGAATTTTACTTTTCATAAACTGTTTTTAAATTGGGAATATTTTCTGCAATCTGTGACTGAAACATTGCGAACATTACCTACTAGACAAAATTGCTATATATTTGGTATGACCGCATGGCAAATATTGCTTGCCAACAGTGCAATTGCATATTGTAGAAAATATTACCTGTCTAGAAGCACTTTTAGAGAGTTATTCAATAATTATGTATACTTACTGGTCTCCTATTGCGAAAGTAAGCTATGAATCTAAAATGATGCTGAAAGCAAGGACTGCCGGAAGCACTTATGTAATACAGGGTGTAAACGGAACATTTTCAAAAACCGAAGATGGTAAAAATGAGATTTATTTTCATAGAAGTAAGGAATTAAATGTTTCTTTAATCTATTAATAATTTTAATCAACTGTTCAAGGCTGATGTTGTCTGAATAACACGAAATCAATATTTTTTCTCTGCGTTTTCCAAAGCGTTCCATTTACACCTGTATAATGCAACCACAATGTTGTACATAGACTACAATATAATTTATTTGTCGACCAATGGTTGGCCAACATGTGTAAGGGGTTTTGATAATGCAAAGAGTAGTGAATAGCTGGTCTTCGACTAGTCAGCATTGCGATTTCTTAGTGACATATATGGACCGACAGACATCCACGACATGTTCATATAGTAGTTTTAATGCATGACCAATAATAACAATATTATTTAATTTTAAAATATTTATAAGCCTTTTTATTTTTATAATTTCATGTGATCTTCGTTTTATTTTGTCATATTAATTTGTTGTGGAACAAATAAACTTGCATTTCACATTCTGCCTTCCAAAACTTCCAATTATATTATTGTAGACATTTTTAAATTCCTATAGTCGATAGTTTTAAACAAGTCTTATGATACAGATATTGTAGGTACAATAGCGTGCTAAACGATCAGTACATACATATTTATATTTGTTAGCGATATAACTATGATTTTCTAAGGGGTGTGTAGTCTTAGTTTTGCAGTGTATTTTAGCAGAATCGCCGATAATATAGCGTTGGTTGATAATGTAGTTCCTTAATAACGTGTAAACATGCTTTTAAACAAATACATATTTTACAGTATCAAAAATCGGCTTGATGCATAAAGTTCAGAGAAATAGAATATAAAGCATATTATATTGTAAATCTCCCAAGTTGCATTCTCCAATCAAAATAGACTGCTGGATACCTTTTAGGATGGAATTCTAAGCCTTATGTACATCTACTTGTCATATAATATTATGTAACCGAGTTACCGAACGTAAGGGACTACGCATAGCATATTTATTATGATATATACTCAAGCAATAATACAGCCTTATAATAATCAACTATTTTGAATATAATAAACCATTAAATAATGTTGATGCAGAATACAAATTTTATATAAATTGTAAATTAAATAAATCAACCGTTTATTTGTTTTTATTTTTCGATTATATGGACGGATGACTTTGCAATCATAAGTTTGTTCTGAATATGTATTTGAAATTTATTTTTAATGTTGGTATGTATGTATGTACTTGCAATTTATATAAACTGTTGTAAGCCATTTGAGAAAATAAACGCATAATATTTATTATAAATATATTGTTTTATTTACTTCATACAATATTTTAGTATTAGTGATCGCTTATTTACAATGAGATTGTTGCTATAATATTATGTAAAAATATCAAATATGGAGCATCTGAATTAAAATTATTATTATTCTATTTAGGAATTTATGACTGACAAAGATTTTGTACAAAAATATAATCATTAAATCAGTATGAAAAACATTGCCTTCTGCTATATGCCTAATAATTATAAATAAGGCACACTGCACTTTGTTATTACAATTAAAAAAGAACTTCTCTACCAGAAAGCTTAAACCTAACTATCAGAATACATTCTTACTGTCACTGAGATAAGCAGACTATGTCAGTAACAAAACTAACATAAAATTCTTTGAAAACTCTCACAAACTCCAAATGCAGTGGAAAATACCATCAGATGCATTATTATTAACATATTTGTTGAAAAAATATTATTTATTCCTTAGCATCAGTAATCCCTTCCGTGCTTATAGCAAACATGGCTTCAGTTTCAGGCAGACAGGGGCTATCGTAGATTTTGCAAACTCTATTGTCGCCCCTCCCCTTTCGAAGATACAGGCGGGTCGTCGACGCGTGCGCAATTATGTGTCCGCCAATAGGCTTCTTCGTATCAGCGTTGAACACGCCCACTGAGTCAACTTGAGCTACTACTTGGTTCGTTATGACTACTGCTACGCCGAACTGCAATAAGGGTTAAATAGACATTTAGCAATTTGAAAATATTTCAGTATAGTTTGTATATATAGCATATGCCTGATTTAAAGGAAAAGCGAAAAAGAAAGAATTTGTGAGACAATACAATGAAAGCTGAAGATTTTTTTGTATGATAGATATTTCCCAATAAGTGCAACTACGCCATGAACCTATACTTTAATAAATAACAGAGCATTACAAATAAAGAAAATACTTTAGTTTTCATGTAAACATGAATTTATTGATAAAATTGCTGAATCTATTATCTTTTACATCTTAAAATAAAAAAATACACACCTCGTCAGCTAATCTAAGCAGCATCCTCATAAACCGCCCAAGATGTAGTTGTCTGGAGTTAAGCTCACCTCGACCTGAGTAGTCAGTTCTGTATAAAGCGGTGGCACTGTCCACTATGATTAGAGAATATCTGAAAATATTAATAAAAAGCCTTAGAACGTCACAACACTAAGCCAAAGTGGTACAAAACTAAAGTAGGGAAGGTCTAACTCTAAAATAAAATTAAAGCTTTCAAGCCCGAATACTGAAGGCAACTTAAATTTTACGCCATGTTACCACTGAGATTTTTTAAAAACCCGGTCATTCTTTGCCCAACCCAGGAATCGAACCCGAGACCCTTTGTCCGGCAGTCGCACTTGCGACCACTTGGTCAACGAGGTAGTCAGAATTCGTAGTGACAGAACTATATTTTACTCTATTTTTATTTAAAACTAGCTTTAACCCGCGGCTTCGCTCGCGTCACAAAAAGATAAAAAGTAGCCTATGTGACTATCCATCCCTTCAACTACCTTTAGTTAAAAAATCACGTTAAGTACCTCCGTTTTGCCGTTTAAGACAGGCAAACAAACAAATAGCTGTTCCCTCGCGTGGAATTCGGTTATATCGCGCTTTTTAGATTTTTCCATGGGAATGAGAAGTTCTGCCGCGGTAAAGCCTTGCTTTTCCAGGACTCAAACTACCTTTATATCAAATTTCTTCAAAATCCGTTCAGCCGTTTAGCGTGAAAGAACAACAAAAGGAGTTATTTTCGCATTACTACAAATACTATCCTCCCATTTTAATTTAAAAGACTTCTATTTCCTATAAGGGTTTCATTTGCAATGTTAAACTAAAACTGAGTGGTAAACTATATTATACGTTTTATTATTGAAAACCTAACTACTTTAGACATCTACTTAGAAATAAACCACTTCACTAATCTAACCTAATTAATATACAGCTAATGTATCAATCAACGTAAACAATGAACAAAGCGACTTAAAACGACGAAAAAAAACTACTTTATTAGATAATAAAATAATATCTTCCTACAAAAAATATCACTTGACTAATCAAACCTACAGAGCGGACGAATAAAAATCAATAATAGTGCTAGATGCGTACACCGAAATATAATCGTTTCGAATTCGGAAGCTCGGAACCCATACTTTCGCCGGTAACGAAACCATAGCGCCATCTAACTCGATCCTAACGTCATCTATCGAGCGTTGAAACAACAGCGTACAATATATTTGCTAATTGTTGAGTATTGTTGCCACTATGGTTTCGTGAACCTACCTTTAACAACCTAAAACCTATAAAACACACAATATAATGTAAAATTGTTGGAACCAACATTTAAAAGCGAAAAGTACTTAAAAAACACAACGCTACCCCGTTTTATAAACACTCAGCGCCATCTATCGCCAAGTAGCGTAACTACTACATAGACACCAATTTCGTGTACCTTCAACAACCTAAAATCTATAAAATACACAATTCAATGTAAAATGGTAGGAACCAAAATTTAAAAGCAAAAAATACTTAAAAAACACAACGTTTTTAAAAATGACATATAAAACAGCAAATAAATGAGTCGAAAAGTGCATCGAATAAGTTTAGATTAACACCAAATAAGCGCTATAGATTACCTAAAGCGTGAAATTTCCAATTAGTAGGTAATTCGTTGAATTGTTTTAAATGGCATACAGCGCCATCTATACGAATACACACAGCGCCATCTATTCTAATATTTTTATTTTCCCTCGGGAATATCACATTTTTCCGGGATAAAAACCCTATTATTTAATCTGGACTTCTAACTTTACGTCTGCAAAATTTCAAAGCAATCGGTTTAGTAGTTACGGCGTGATAGTGGAACAAACAAACAAACAAACAAACAAACTCACTTTCAGATTTATAATATTATAGTAAGGATTAAGAAGCGTTGGAGTATTTCAGCATTTATATGATTTGTGTAACACAAACTCATATTTTTCAATGGGTTTATAGCAAACATAATACAATAAATATTCTTGAAAATAATCTAATCCTGTCTACCATCAAAACAAAATATTCCACAACATACCTAGATTCTGCCATCATAGCACAAGCTTGCACCAACAACTGAGTTTGGTGATCAGTATTATACGCGCGAGCATACGCCACATTGTCCAGTACTGCAGCCCCATCCATGCCGTAGCGCTGAGCGACTGCCAGCAACCGCTCCGGACGAAATGTACCTTCTGTGTCTATGTACATGCATTTTCCTTCACCTCCTGATTGTTCTATTGGAAGCTAAAAGGTTACATAGTAAAAATATCTTTTAATAAATTCAAGACCTAATTTCAGTCAATGAGTTCTCTAATTTAATCTAAAGCATTTTACAGGCAATGTCTATGAAAAAATTGTTGATATATTGTATTATGTAAGGGCTATATTATTTCTATTTTCAAACAAGACTTTGTAAAATTAAATATGAATAATGAACAAAACATCATTTGGGTGATGTATGACATACATATTATTGTTAGCGGTTAAGGGTAATCTTACAACAATAAATGTCAAACTTTTCTACTGTGTGTAAAAAAAAACATGATGTACATTAAATGGAAGGACACAGAATAAGGCTCGGTTGCATTATTACCTGGCATGTAACTGCCAAAGTGTGACATATTTGAGTTTTCCCAGTTCTAAACTCCCCAAATATTTCCGTAATGGATCCAGTTTCTATGCCTCCACCCAGTAATCTGTCCAGTTCTTTCGAACCTGTAGTCAATTGAATTATTTCTGATCTGAAAAGAAAAAATAATAGAAATGTTTTGAAAATATAGTTAAAATATAGTTTATTTCCAAATAAAAGATTAAATAGTGTTTATTGAGTAGATGCTGACCAAAAGATAAATTATTGATACTCGACTATAGTGGTAGAAAAATTCATGATATAATTAATATCTTTAACAATCTCACCTCTTTTGATGAAACTCTGTAGCAGTGGTAAAACCCATAGGCACCAACTTTGATGCCTCCGCTAGTATTTTGTCAGCTTTAGCTTCAGATATACCTTTAATAGTGATCAACCATTTCTTAGGAGCATATGCAACTGATTCCACAGTGTGATATCCTGCTTCTTCTAACTTTTTGATGTCTCCTGATGTTATACCATTGCCCTGGAAGAACAAGAGTAGTGTGTGATTTGTTATTAAACTTCTAGATAAGTTTATTTTTGTTTAATTGTTAATATCCCCCTAAAACCGACTGACCGACCCAGAAATTAAAGTTGAGATTAGTACTCAGCATATGCCATTAATGCAACTGAAGTTTACACGAGATAAGGCTCCCATATTATCAAGATAATCCTACCTCTAACTTCGTGATAAGTTGAGGTCCACATTCGTCCAAATCTTCATCAACAGAGGCGGTTACTGCAGATGCCGTGGCTGTCATGTTGTCTTACACAAAAGTTCACTATCACCGAGACATTTAAATCTTTGTATGGAAATTTTACACCAAATCGTCCTTGTTTTTTACTTTAACTCGAACTGTTTGAAAACTGTGAGCACACACAAACAGTTCAATATTTAGTCACTGAAAATAAGATTTGTTGCAATATTTACAGTAAAATAAACTGAGAAAGTAACGACACTCAAAAAGAACTTCAAGTTTCAACATGCACGAAGATTCAGGATCTTTTTGTTTTCGAAAAAGTCACAAACCAAATGTCAAAATGTTTCTTTTTTGTACCAAATTCCCTCCAAAGTTTTAGATTTTTTTGGTTCCTTAGTTTTGGAACACTTGGAATTTGAGATAGAAAGCAACCTATTCATACATAAGTATTGGATAGTTAGTAGTTTTCAATAATTAATAATTTAAAACTGTTGTGTGATTTAATCAGTACTTGATTATTTACTTCAGTTCATCTAATTTAATCAAGAAAAGCAATCTGATAAAAAAGTCTTCTCTTATCTCTCTGTCTCATAATTAAATTGATTAAGCTGAATAATAATAAAGAAACAGAACAATTTGATAAAGAAGAAAAAATAGGAAATAATTTAATCAATTTGTAAAGTAATAATTGATGAAATAAAATTGTTTCCTATAAAACAACAAGTAGTTGTAAGTACCAACAGCTGATGGAAATTTGAAAAGAAGGTGACATTATATTTGTTCTGTCAAACTGATCCCGACCGGTGAAACTGTAATTTGTGCTAACTAGGTGCAATATCAATTAAATTTAAAACTCTACCAATAAAACTTTGATCTAAACTTTCTACAGTCTAGAATAGTTGCAGTTGCTTATTACATTCTGCTATAAACTTTAAAGTTGTTAAGATGGATGATAATAATCCAGAAATTTCGTTATTAATTGACGATCAAGTGTTTAAAGCAAAGAGGAATGATTTGATGGAACATAGTGATTTTTTCCGAGCTATGTTTACTGGAGACTATGTAGAAAGGGAGCGGAAACAAATATTTATTGAGGTAAGCACTATTTTTCCAGACTTATTGGTGTCATCGCAGTTCTAAAGTCGATGATTAAAATTGGCGGTAACTCGAAATTAACTTTGTTAAACGCTCTTTAAAAATATAATTTTACTAAATACATAATCTTGATATCTTAATTTCGTTATTTAATAACTTTTTGGATAACTTTAACAACTTAATATATAAAATCATGGTTTTAGTAACTTAACCTGTTGAAATATTGTACCCTAAAATTAGTAGTCTCTAAACTTCGGAAATAAGGTCTATAATGTAGTTAGTGGAGAGAGGTCACCGATGACTGCTTGGGGATGATGAGGAGTCTCATGCAATTTAAACTACCTGTAAGGAAAATATTTTTTAAATAGTGTCCTCTTACAGGTGGTGGACGCTGCTTCTATGAGTATTATATTGAGATACATAAACATAGGATTAATAGATTTATCAGAATTTGATTTGCCAACCATAGGAGATCTGGCAGTCGCTGCAAGTTTCCTACAAATTACAGAACTGACGAAACAAATAGAATATTGTTTGGAACAGCAACTAACATTAGCTAACTGGTTGGAAGTTAAAGAAGTAGCATTAAATGCGGCTTTAGTCAAATTGGAGCAAAGCACCGTTGTATTTGGACTTTTTTCGTTCAGTAAAATGAAGACTGAGAATATTCAATCGTTAGATAAATTATATTGGTACCTAGCACATCCGTACTTGAACTTAGAGTCTGAACTAGACGCATTCAAGTTTGGTTTAAAGTGGCTACGGGAACATGAAATGGGTGCAGACACACTGTTAGTGGTTCTGTGTTGCTTAGACCTTAAAAGACTTTCAATTGAAGAATTAATAGAAATGAGAGAATTAATAACAGACTTTGCTAATAGTTTAGGGGAAAGAGTAGTAGAATGTCTGTATAAATTATTATTGGAACATGATTTGTCACTCGATACTATAAGGCAGAATAAAGAAGAACTATGTCTCTTTTTTACTGAAAAAGTTTACACAGAAGTGTTCAATTTAGTAAAAGAAAGTGTTCAACGTAAACTAAAGTATACACCGACTGTGCCAATGTGGTCGAACAAGGACAAAAAACCAGAAGCGTCACAGAATTATTTATTTACGTACACGGAAGATGCTGGTTTCCAAAGGTGGATGGAAGTCGCTGAACGGAATCTTTGGGGTTGGAATATAACTGCTTGGAGTCCCACTCAGATTGTGGTGGTATGCGGTGAATATGGACGCGGTTCTGGAATTTTTATGAGAGATGTGAAAGTTTATGATGTTTACAAAAAGGAGTGGACTCAACATGGAGTGGAATTGCCTGTGAGGAGACATGCTGGTGTTGTAGTGGTAGATGATTCACTATATCTACTGGGGGGTGTTGGTGGATTCCGGTAAGTTTATTTTCTTCTTCACGATTTAGTCTAAAAATAATCTAAAATTGATTTTACTAAAGTGAAGAAATCACACTGTGTGGTGGGCTTTAGAATAAAAAAGAACTGTGTCTTGTTACTGGCTGGCTGCAAATAAATGTCAATACTTTAACAACTTTGGCAATTCATTGAAATATGTCAAATACATAATGATTTCACAATATCTACAAGAATGTAAAAAAATATTTATAAAATAACTAAAATATTTAATTTACCAATACAGTGTATTGGTACGAAATTGAAAATAGTTTTCTATAACAAAATGTCTATAAACTAATGTTCCAATGTGTACAATAAGTATGCATGCGAATCAAAATCACATACAAAAAGTTATAGTAAATAAAGATATAATGATTAAAAGCTGCTATAGTCAACATGCAACATTTGAGAGGTCCGTTCGTACACCAAGCTTCTGAGTCTGTCCTGAAAATCATCCGTTACTCAGTCCAAAATAGACAAGTAAGTATACCACTATAAATGTAAAAAATTTCTTTATCCAATTGCATGCTTTTCGCTTTCTGTTTTTTTGCTTAGCAAAGTTTTAGTTATTGTTTAAGTATGATAGATTAATAGCAGCTAGATACCCAGGGTTATATTGTTCAGGTTAAATTTAGAATACCCTTTGTCCTGGAGACCATTCAAACTTGAAAAACTTACAAGAAATATATCTACTCAGAATAAGGTGTTGCCAATACATTCATGCATGTTTCTATCGTGGTATCAACTTGGCAACACCAGATGTAGGAACAAGGATTGAAAAAAAAATTACCTGACATGGTGTTACCATGTTTAATAATGCGTTTTTTGATAGACAAATTCTAATTCAAGTTCTAAATCTTACTTATTTTTAATTTGTAGGTCACATACCTCAACAAAATGTCTCCTACAAGCTGGTTAACTGCTAAGAACTTATTTAATATAAGTATGAGAAGCCTTTGTTCCAAACAAGACCCTAATAAGTTACATTTAAGCTCCGTCCAGGTGATTGATATGAAACCTGCAAAACCAGAACGAAAGGAAATAGCCGATCCTCCCGAAATACCAGAACCTCCTAGTCCAGAGGAGCCACTGCCGCGAGTTCCAGTTCCCGGAGTTCCAGATGTAACCATTCCCTTCACCCCTGATTTACCCGTGCCCGAGTATCCCGAAATCCCCATACCTGTAAAACCTGGATCATTTCCCATTAAAAATTTACCAGGAAATCCAAAACCAATTTTCAAAGAAGTCGTGCCAAAATGGCGCGCACCTGTTATACCAGATTTAGCGACGTTGTTTTCTTCCCCATTAGTTCTGCATAAAGTAGCGGTAAACTATAAAGCTGAATATTTAATGCTGACTTCTCAAATGGAAGTTATGTCCAGAGCAAATAATTACTTTTATAGAAAATGTGGATTACCTGAAAGTTCGATTTTACAGCTAGTAGACAAGAGAATAATTTCAAAACTCGATGATAATATACCTACAAATGACGGAAATATAAATAATTTAATCCTTGCAATCTCAGGGTTGTCTCCCATCCAAGTCGTTGCTATTTTATCGCTACTACAAAATCAAATTTGGCTTATATCAAACAGAGAAAAGATACCCCACGGTGATTTCAGTTTTGAGATGAACAACAAAGAATTTGATAAAATGATTAAATTGGCTGCAATCTTACAAAGAGAAGTTTTGCATCCCAATAGGTTGGGGAGATGGTGTGTCAAGCAAAGTGAACTTTTGCATTCTAAGTATCCAGAATGAAACTATTGAACTATTCGCTTAGTTTTTAGCCTTTTAATCAAATTAAAACATGATAAAAACAACTTATAGCTTCATAATTTATTCCACATTTTTGTTGTAATGTAAAATCAAAAGGTCCATAAGGAATAAAGAAGTATAAAATTGTAATTTATTATTAAAATAAAAAAAAATAAAATTAATTTTAGGTGTTTTATTTTTGTTTATTTGACTGCACGGTTGGTGCGGTGTCTGGGCAACCGGCTGCGGTGCAACGTGGCGCGGGTTCGGTTCCCGCACGGAACAACACTTTGTGTGATCTACAAATTGTTGTTTCGGGTCTGGGTGTCATGTGTATGTGAACTTGTACGTTTGTAAACGCACCCAAGACACAGGAGAAAATCCTAGTGTAGGGCAACGTTTTAAAAAAAAAAAACAAAAAAAAAACTAAAATTTATTACCACACCATTTAACACGAACATAGTTTTACGTACTGACTTTAACCGACTTATGTTACAGGGTAGTGCTAGACTCGGCAGTAGTGTATAACTTAAAGGAGAGGACATTTAGGTCAATAGCGAAGTTACCGGACGCAGTGCAGTCGCCCGCCGTCTGCGCCCACGACGACGAGGTGTACGTTATAGGACATAGAAACATTTATAAATACGAAGAAATTTGCCAAAAAGACCGTTGGACAAAAGTCCTTACAATGGACATCACGCCGACTTACCTGGTGTCTTTTAAAGGGTATATCTATGTCGCTCAATGCTACTTCCCAAGTCTGTACAGGTTCATACCTGGGGACGAACGCGGCTTGCAGCAGATCGCCAGCTTCTGTCATCCTCCTCGGGCTATTTGTAATTTAGGTGAGTTAATCTTGTATGTTTTTTTATGCATAATCAAAGTTATGAAATGCCAGTAGATATCTAAGTATTCGATCCATTGTTACTGTGATATTAGTTAGTTTTAACACTGTTTTTGAGAAATAAACACAACATCACGCCTTTTATTCCCCTAATATTGTAGGCATATGTGTACCGTCGTACTCAGAGTAATTTAATGGCTACTTAACCCAGTCCTTAGCAATTGTTTTCGGAACAATAGCGTTACTAAAGAATAATTTATGTCTCGTGAGTGTTGAAGTTAATGCCACTGTACAATGTAACCAACTTTTTGAGATATAAAATCGTAATTATTTTCCTTATTCAATGACTGTATTGTATTCTACGTTTCAGGTTATCGCCTGATCGCCGTAACATGTTCTGGAGACACATCAACAGATATACTATCTGTAGAAGAATTACGCATAGTGGGTGACGGCCACTATTACCAGAATACCGATGTTCTTTGGTCCGAAACTGGGTCAGAGTTTGGCGTCAACCCTTCGGGGGCATGTGCGGTAGTCATGACAATGCCTGAAATCAATCCTAATGTGTCCGCGTATCATCAGCGGTATATTGTAATGTATGGATAGATTTAGTTACTCATGTTGTTATAATTATAGTCGATCATAAATGAAGTTTGTTAAGGTTCAAAATCTTTTGTAATTTTTGTAACGATAAGATCGGGTTTTGCTAAGCAAAATTAATATTAGATATTAGAACTGTTTTTCAATTAGTATTGTTATATTCGATAAAATTCAGTATAGTAGAGTTCAAAACTATTTATAACTTTTTATAACGATCAGATCGGCTTTTGCTCAGCAAAATTAATATTAAATATTTTAATTTTTAATTAATTAATTTTAAATATTTTATCGTAAGTACTCCTAAAGATTCTTTAATTTGTAAACATTTTTGGTCTGCTAAACCGCCTGGGAAGCGCTCAAAGCGTTTTTTAAACTATTTTATTATGATTTTTATATTTATAAGATGGATTGATTAGTTATGTAAGTTCGCGACTTCTAGTCTAAATTATTATCATTTTTATTTGGAAACTTTATTGATGATTATTATGTGCTTATTTTATTTTTTAACCTCTAAAATTGCTAATTGCTATCCTATTTTCTCAATCGAAATTTAATATTTAGGTAAAACGGGCTGAGTAGTTACAGGAATGGGGTGAATAGAGGTTAGAATATTTTCAAACATTTATTCACCCCTCTTCTGCATTTATTCACCCCTCGAATTCTATTCACCCCGTTTTACGTATGAGTTCTTTAAACATAACATTTCTTTTAAAAACTTTGTAATCTACAAAATGTTTGAATTTATAATTGTAAATGGAGTCAGTAAGCCAAAACAAAGTCCAAAACTGTTATTAATTTACATTTATTACGGTCATTCATTTACAAACATACTCAAAAATATTAATTAAAAAGTACATTACAATTTGTACAAGAAATCCACAATGAATGTCAAAATAATGTTAATACTCATAATTACTCTAATTACCGTACCTATATAATAATAATAATTAAAAAAAAAAACAAAATGACGGCATTATATGCGATCTCAATAAGACTAGTAGTCAATAATAAAATAATCTTTGCAATTAATAGGTATACAACATGAAGCCAAAAGGATTTTAATCTAAAATTATTTTTGTCACTTGTATAAAATAACTTATTGTTAATTGGTAACACTTAAATATTGAAATTTTACAAAAGGACGTTTGGAACATTTAGGGACTGATACACAATGTCTTATTAAGTTTGTTAAAATAATAAACTCATTATTTTTATATCCATTAAATAGGAGTTATTCCAAAAGTATGTCAAAGACAATGAAAAAAATGTTTTATTTCAGTATTTAAGTGTATAATAAAATAATGTTATTTACAATGAACTATAGTAGTTTATGAAACATTTTGAAAAGGACTTTATATAACAGGAATCTGAGATAAAATAACCTGAGCATAGTTCAGATTTTTAAATAAGTTGTAATGCCTAATTTTGTTTCATAAACTACATAAATCTATATTTCAATCATAAACTTCTTATTAAATTAATCAATTATTAATTATCTACATAAAATAATGCAGTTTTTGATTTTACAACTTCATAAGAACTTTTGGAGATAATAAGTAAATATCCTATGTATCATAATAAATGTTAAGGCCACTCAATGTTATGTATTGAATAAACACATACATATTGAATGATACAGCACCAAATGGATCAGTTGACAGCCATATTAGCATGTCAATAATGGCACTCCAAGGATCCAATGTTACCATGTGACATAAAAAACATTAAAAACAAAACTTACATTATTTAAAAGCTCATATCCATCGCATGTTTCTTAAATCTACTATTAAATAAAAGTGATGCGCAGTATGAAAGCATTTTATTTTGTCAAAAATGTATTTGGCATTTACATTCATACGAAAATTAATGGAAGCACTAATATAATAATTAGATCTAAAAACAATATTTTGTGAAGAATAGATTATTAATTTATTACGAATGCATTTTCTTGGTACAAAAATATCTATACACTATAGAAATTTAGCACATCGTCAAGGCACGTAACCAAGGCCCTCTACGTCGAAACTAATTAAATAATTATTAATTATGTTGTACGAATATTACTTGAAACTAGGTTTTAAATCTTGCACATTAAGATATACATTTCTTTTACCTATGTCAAAGATTTTATTAAATATTTTATAGGCTTACTTTACTAAGGTTGTTAGTCGGTTTTACGTCCATCCTCCGGTGAGTTTATGGAAGAGGTCTTCGTTCAACGTTTGGTTGGCATCCTTGGAGCGCATCGAGAGGAAGATATAGCCTCCAATGAATTCGTGGACCACTTTACAGTCTGCGGACTGCACTGAGAATATTATGTTGCCTTCCTGGAATTGCACCATCATGTGCTTGATCTCCCAGTTTACGTTCCATGCCTGAAATTAAAATATAACTTGGTTAACAGTTGTTTTTGCTAAGCAACCTTATTGAGTAATGTAATATTAGGTAAAAACTAATTATAGTACTTTTGAGAACTATCAACCCGCTCTTAACAAATGTGGTGATTAATGCTTAAATCTCCATGTGAGAAGAGGCCTTTGGTCAGCAGTAGCCACTTATAAGCTATAAATGATGACTTTTGAGAAACAAAAAGAGAAGTGTGCCAAACAACTTATGAATCAACAGATAAAAAAAGAAAACATAATATTACATAAGAACAAAAAGAGCGCTTTTATAAACTATCTATTATTGTCTACCTACTTTCCGTGACGCGTGGAAATTGTTGCTAAGAAACGCCATGTATGTTTTTAGCAGGCAAATAAGTTAGATATTTATATTGTTTTTACTAACCTTCATATCACTAAACCGCCACGTCTTAATATGGTCGCCGGTATTAGGGTCAAGCCGCATGATCCTATTGTTGGCAATGCTAATGATCTCGTCCCTCTTGTGTCCCATAAAACGGACGACAAACATCGTCTGGCCGTAGTCTCGGAGATTCTGCCACGTTTTGATGTACTGTAACTTCGCTTCGAGGAGTGGCAGGTCTTTGACGTTGGCGTGGCTCTCCAGGACGCGTTGTGTGAACTGTGGCAAAAAAGTAAAAATGTTGGTTGACATATTGTGTTGTGACATATTTTTACATAGACATAGTTTTGTGTTTAAGTCATTCTGGGCAAGTGCTTTCCCCTATAGGTACTTGTGGCAAATGTTTAAAAGTGCCGTCTCTGACTACGCTCAATATTGCCAGACAAATATCAAACTATTTACAGAATAAAACATAGATTAAAATTAAACTCAGTATGTTTTAATTTATCAAATGGAATTTGCGAACTATTTCAAAACAAAATTTAGGACTGAAATCCTGGAACTAGGCCTTTCTGACCATACAGCACAATTAGCCTTCATACCTGCACCGATAGGTTTAGATTGGCCTGTCTCGATTTCGCTATCTAGGTCCTACTTATTACAATAGGGAAAACAATGACAGTGAGAGCCTCGTCTCAATAGCTGAGTAGTACCTACATACATCTTATAGCAAAAAAATTAAAAAAATCATATAAATATAAACTACTAATTTCACAGATCATATATAAAGGCTTGTAACACACATTATACCTTACAATAGTACAAATAAAGTACATATTTATTTAATTACCTTGCTCTTGAGCTTCTTGAGGAACCGTGGCGCGAGGTAGTTCTCAGGCTGCAGATGGTCAAGGTGTGGCAGGGAGTGCTGGTTGAGTGCGGCGGCAGGCTGCGGCCTCTGCAGCTGGAGGAGAGAACGTACTGCTGCAGCTTCGGTTGCAAACGCTGAGTCTGCTAGCGAACGACCTCTAGATCCCAGGCGACAGGCTGCTACCCATTCCGCGTATTGATCCTCCTGTAATTAAACGGCAATATTAATTATAGTTTACGTAGTTTTGACTAGGTGACTCGATTAGTACAAGTTCAAGTACAAGCCTCGCTTGGGGCTTATAGTCATGAGCAACAATGAGCGATAAACGGTTGACCCAAATTGTAGAATAAAACAACAACAACAACATAAACATCACGCCTTTAACCCCGAAGGAGTAGGCAGAGGTGCACTTAAAGCCACTGTACAATGTAACACCCACTTTTCACCATTTATGTTCTGAGTCCCATGTAATAGGGGGTGAGCCTATTGGCATATACCGGGCACAATTCCAGACTCCGTGCTACTACTGAGATTTTTTTAAAAACCCAGTAATAGATACTTTGCCCGGCCCGGGAATCGAACCCGAGACCCCTTGCCCGGCAGTCACACTTGCGACCACTCGGCTAACGAGGCAGTCCATAAAACTATATAATAAGTAGAATATAAGCATATAATACAGAAAAACTTACATTTTCACATTTGAGCCACATTTCATGCATGGCGTCCTCTGCGGGCACCTCCAGCTTGATGCTGTACCGACCCGACGCTGGGTGCGCGTCTGGAGTCACCTGCGGAAGGAGTAACGTACATTTACTATAAACAAAATATTATCTCGTCAGTTTATTAAGATGGAATGATCCACCGTGTATAATAACAGTAATAAATGCAATGTCTAATATTAGTTTCGGCTTCGTTTACTTATTTGTACAAAACAAAGAATAATTTGTGTTAGTCCCCACAAATATTGTAGTAGGTAAAATGTTTACGAAAAATTTAAATTTAGTTTATTTGTAAATTAGTCATTCCCATTTTACAGAATGAGAGACCAAAAATAAAATATTTCTATTTCCAACCAACCAACCAACATACAATGAAAATTTTCTAGTTTATGGACAAATACCTACACATTAAATACATACATAACATAACATCACGCCTATTATCCTCGAAGAGGTACGCAAAGGTGCACATTACGGCACTTAATGCCACTGTACAATATAATACCCACTTTTCACTATTTATGTTATGAGTCCCATGTAATAGGGGCTGAGCCTATTGCCATATACCGGGCACAATTCCAGACTCCATGCTACTACTGAGATTTAAAAAATAACCAGTAATACTTTGCCCGACCTGGGAATCGAACACGAGACCCCTTGTCCGGCAGTCGCACTTGCGAGTTGCGACCACTCGGCTAACGAGGCAGTCATTAAATACTACAAACTTATTTGCGTTTGGTACAGTGACTGTGTTTTTTTTTGTGTAAATTTATTTTAACTTTCCTTTTAGTATAATAAACAATACAAATCTACCACTATTTTAACTTTTCACAAGTTACCAAAGATCCTTACCTCAGCTCCACGCAGTTCCACAGCATAGGACGGGGCTTCGCCCTTTCCAGCAGCCTCGCGAGACGAGTGGATACGCAACACGCCGTCACGACACGACACCCACCCACGTTTGTACGCCTTCAGAGTAAAACGTTTGGGCCTGTAGAACATTGATGAAGAATTATAAACAGGAACAATTCTGTAACCATACTTGTTTATACAAAAGTAGTATCTAAACATTGGAATTAAGGTCTATAATGGGGTGGGTGAGAGAGGACACTACAGTCCTTTTGGTTATTTTGTTACCTATTTCTCTGTTTTATGAAGTTCTATTGAAGTTAACTCGTTGAGTACCGTCATTATAGACACAATTAAAGAACAATAGGTTGCGGTCACCGATGACCGCTTGGTGTTTGACAGTTTAAGGAGATAGGGTTTAGAAATGGCTCATTTCGTGAGCTTAAAACCAAGTAGGGATTTTAATAGTCATTTGATATTGTAGCCACAGTAATCAAATGACTGTAGTTGTTAGTTTAAATTTGTTTCAATATTTAGTGAACTAACAGAGAATTGTATCAATAAACTTAACTTTACAAAGGGAAATAATAATATACAGAATAGGATATTGAAACAATAATATAAATATAACATCACGCCTTTTTATCCCCGAAGGGGTAGGCAGAGGTGCACAGCACTTAATGCCACTGTACAATGTAAAACCCCACTTTTCACTATTTATGTTATGAGACCCATGTAAAAGGTGAGCCTATTGCCATATACCGGGCACAATTTTAGGTGCTACTACTGAGATTTTTAAAACCTAGTAATACTTTGCCCGACCCGGTAATCGAGCCCGAGACCCCTTGCTCGGCAGTCGCACTCGCGACCACTGGGCCAACGAGGCAGTCACAATAGATATTGAAACAATCACAACAAAATATATTTAAAAGGTAAGTACGTAAATACCACAGGTAACATACAATATATTAAATGGACATATACAGATTTGGTCGTTATTGTTATAATATTAATTGGAATCACTATTATTTGGTTATGAATACACTAACGACATTTAAATAAAATTACAATATATTAATCAAGTTTTAAAACAACGAAATACGTAATACATAGTTTGAAAAACATTAATCAAACGATATTAACAATTTATTCAATCGATTCTGGACTCAACTAGCGTAAAATGATATTGCAAGTAAAATATATGGTAAGGAAAATTATGATATTCATTCGTTATTTATAATATGAAGATTACAGAGTTCAAAATCGATTGACCAAATAAATATATTAAATGGCTACCATTAATTTCTAATTGAATTGGTTAATGATTAATCGAATACTCAAACGCAACTACACAAAATCTATAATATAAAAACACGCCTTTTTATCCCCGAAGCACATAATTATAATGGCGCTTAATGCCACTGTACAATGTAACACCCACTTTTCACTATTTATGTTATGAGTCCCATGTAATAGGGGGTGAGCCTATTGCCATATACCGGGCACAATTCCAGACTCCATGCTACTACTGAGAATTTAAAAAAAGAACCCAGTTACACTTTGCCCGACCCAGGTCTGAGACCCCTTGCCTGGCAGTCACACTGGCGACCACTCAGTCAACGAGGCAGTCGACAAAATCTACCTATACTAATATTATTAAACTAAAGTTTGTTTAAACGCGCTCATCTCCGAAACTACTGGTTCAAATTGCATAATCCCTTTTTGTGTATAATAGTCCATTTATTGAAATAAGCTATAGGCCATATAACATCTTGCTAAGATTAATAGGAACCGGGCAGCGGGCGAAATCGTACGGAAGTAGCTAGCAAGCCTCTACATAAGAGGACTTTGTTCCCTCTTATGTAGAGGAGGCCCAACAATGTCGTTGTCGTGTTTTTTTTTATTTTATCTAGCGTTTGAATATTCATTAGTGGTGGATAGACATACAAAAGTGTGTTAATAAAGGTGGTATGAAGTTTATGACAAGAATCTTACGCGAAGGCACAGTAATCGTTGTTACACTTGCTGGCCGCCAAGATGGAAGAAACAAATATAATGTAAATACATAGAAATTATAAAACAAATATTATGTAAATATATAGAAATTATAAAATATAGAAGAAATAAGGTACATGTAAGTATGGCAGTTCAAGCCACAACTTTTTGTTATTCGATTTTCGACTTTACACCAAAACTAATAAAGTTGAAAATGGAATAAAGAAAGATAGAAAGTAGCTTGACCTGCTGGTCTGTACTTAAATAAGAATATGTATATGATGTACATTCTATACTTGTATAGAAAGAATAGAATTGTTATTGACAAATATCTTTTAGGAAGATACAAAAATAATAAGAATAAAATAGCTAGAATGATATGAAAAATATGTATAGACAAAATGGAAAAATGAAAACATTATTAAACCTACAATATGAGCTACTACGTACGCATACAGATGGCTTGGTACATTTTTTTACGTTTAACAAAAATGAGACCTCTGATTGGTTGGTTTATTGATGCAGGCCAATCAGAGCGCCGCACGTCATGAACGTTTTGAAACCCGTACTAAGTTCTCAGTTCAAAATCGACCTACCTATGTATGTCAAACTAAAATCAACCTTACGATTAGAGAAAACAAGAGTTAAAATTAAAAACACTTACCTAAGGTACTTAAGATAGGATGCAAGCTCTGGTACATGTGTGATGTCGTTATGTGGTGCTGGTCCTCCTTCTAACTGAGTTTGTAAAGCTGAGAGTGCCGCATCAATTTCATCCTCTGGCGCATTCGCTTGGGACGTGGCCGTGCCATCTGCCGCATCCAAACTACCACCGGCTAACGTTTGTAGCTCGATTTGAAGCTGTAATTGTAAGAGATTAGAGTTGATTATTGTGTGTGATATTAGTCTGATTATTAAGTAGGAAATAAGGGGTGGCCTGGAAGGGTTTCCGGGAGTTACATTTTCAAAGATGGCGGCGCAAGTGGCTCACGTATATAGGTGCGAAATGGAAATCGAAAAGACCACATCAAAATCTACAAAATTGGCGATTTTCAAAATTCCCGGAAAACATTTCAGGTAGACATATAAAGTTACTGAATTAAATGTGAAGATTTGAATTTTTGGTCGAAAATGTATGAGTTTTAGGAAACCAAGTGCAATAATCTAGTGTTCTGCAACGAGTTATGAAACTACATAAGAATTTTATTATGCATTTTTATTAGGTCTAAAAACTTAGCTATGTTCTAAACTAACATAATAATAGTCTTTAGGACGTATTTAAGTTTTAAATCAAAACATTGGTATAATTGTTAATTGAATTATCTACTCATCTAGTTTTCTCAATGAACACTTATACATTTTTAGAAATTCCCATCTCATTGCAAACATAATCAACAAATTCTCCACACTGGTATTAATGGAAAAGACGTCTTAAGGTCTTGACTGCCAATAGAAAACTGTTGAAGACAAACCTCCCCCCCCTTCCCAATCCCTGTATCCCCAACAATCCTCAAATCTGTAATCCCAAGATCACTTGTAACACCTCTGGTGTTTCAAGTGTCCATGGGCGACGCCAATTGCTTACCATCAGGTGATCCACCTGCTCGTTTACCAGTTTATCCCATAAAAAACGGAATATTTACCTGTAACGCGGCAAATAACAGCATTTCTTCCTCTGTACACTGCACCTCTTGGTTCAGTATCTGCCAGCGAGCTTGCTGATACAGCTGGTTCAGTCGCGCCGCGTCCTGCGCACGCGCAGTCAGGTCGAAGAAGGAGTAGAATTTGAAGCGAAGCTGTAGAGTGTTCCATTCTCGGACGTACTGCTCCATTATGGAGAGAGATGAGTCGAGCCAACTGTGAAGATGGATTAATTAATGTTTAATAAGGTAGGTAGACTCACGCAAAAGGACTATGAGTAGAGCGAAGAGGAGAGTAATTGATTAGGTTTCTTGAGCTCTTCAACTCACAAAGATTCTGACTCTGGAAAGAGTCTGATTTATAGCGCCAGGAGAACAAGAAGTCAAAATGTACAACTTATTCTTATACACCCGAATACTGAAAGGTTACTCAGTTTTAAGTTGGACTTAAATATCGTGCCATCTCTGTCATTTTACAAAGCATTTGCAGTGTCAAAACTATACTTAAGCGCGACTTGAGTGGCGTTTGAATAATCGGACATTAGTCTATTTGTATACTACAAAATTATACTGTTACTTAAAATCTTCACTAAGAATAACTCCATGCATGTATCAGGTTCAGTTAAATTTTTGTTTTCTAGTATGTAAGAGAAATACATTCAGAAATCGTTTAATGGACCAAATTAATGGACCTGTCAACATTCCAGCCTTAATAACACTGAGATTTTTTAAATCAAAAAGTCATTAACTTTGATCTGTTGAACGACTTCAAGACATTACTCATTTACAATAATTTCAATAAAACAAAGAATCTCAATAAGTCTGCTTCAGAAACGAAAAGGTCAGTCTCTTTGGTTGACATATTATGTTAATACGTACATAAATACATTTAATTTAATTACAAAGTTATACAGTATTTTGAAACAAATTAATAGCTGATGATGTCATTTAAAGAAGTATGCGGAAAAGTCATAAACAAAATATGGTTAAATTAATACATACCCAACATTCATTCTAGCACGTTCCATGAGAGATTTGGGCGTTAATAGAGACTCTCGTGATTGTGTGTCGGGCTCTAAGGGGGAGTCTGCTAGAGACAGCTCGGCAAGAGAATCCAGAGCGTCTAGAGAGGCAGCTCTGGGCGGGGTACTACCGTATCCCCCATCGCTTGATCCGTCACTCTGTGTGCTGTACAGACCACCGTAACGACGGAGTGTGCCATTCTGGAAAAAGGACAATAGTTTTTAGTTTTTAAAGATCATATTACAGATCTGTCTATTGCCATATGAAAAGTAAAATTAGTTCTGAAGATCGCAGAGTAAAGAATAAATTTAAATTTTCATCAACGTCAAAAATAGCAACGAAGCAACAATAATGTTAAACAGGATAATTTATTAACAAACTTATGCATGTAACACAAACAGTACATGACAGGAAACAGATGCATTTTCCTGCACCAATTTTGTATAAACCAATGAATAAAAATGTTATAAATAACTCGTGAATTATCTTTAACCAACGAATGAGCTCATAACTCGGGGTTTTGTTACAAGTACGCCATTTTGTTTAATATATCCAACTTTTTTGAGAAATTCATCTTCTGAACAAGAATGATTTAATATAATGCGTGTTGTTAAGTGTTGTCAAACGTTAAGGCTTTGGGTTCCACAAGGGCCGATATTGGGACCGTCGAAGTTTATTGTATTCAATTTCGACAATTTGAAAGTTTTAGAATAAGGTATCGACTAGATCTACATTACCAAGACAAAACTTACTTGTTGTGCAACCGGGGTAGCGGAGAGTGATCGTGGTGGTGGCGGTGTCGCAGGACAGGGTCCATTAGACCTGTCCAAACTATTTGAGGAGCCTCTGGTGGCTGCTATAAACGTGTTGGTGTCTGGAGGCTGTGACGACTTTATCCTTTTCGCTTCCTTCAAGTTCTGGTAGTTCTGTTTAAGATGAGAGGGTTCTAAGGGGTAACAGAGGGAAAGTTCCTCTGGGTGTCGAATTCCTGCAAAAGAAAATAATATAATCGTCTAGAGAGCATTCAACCGTCTGTTTCTTTGAATAACACAAGGGTTTAAACAAACTTATGAAAACATACATGGATTTGAAATAAGAAAATATGCTATAACAACATACTAAACCGATCAAAGATAGCTATAAAAAATCAGTAGTTATTTTCGTCTCCCAAACATGAAAAGGCAAATGTTCTCATAAACAAATACAAGATTAAATAGTGGTAATATCAAGAGCGAGCATCGAATGGGTCCTTCAGAATAAACATTCGAGTTTTACGAGTTGATCGACTTTACGAGCATTAACATTTGGATGAGATAAAATAGAGGTACATTGATGTTCGAAGTTTAGTTAGTTCATGTAGCCGAATAAGGCATAAAAGTCAGATCGTAAATCGACTAACCGTTACAAAGTGTTGAAACGTAAAACTTTTCGATTCAATACGACCTTTACGATCTCCAAAGAAAATGATATTGGAAAACATCGATAAAGATTTTAACGGTTTGATTAGGTAAAATTTTGGTTATATCTAAATTGGGATCTTGTGGTTTTATCTGCTTAGAAATGGCTTCTTACAATATCATTTGCTAAGACCATTCAATGTAATTTAAATATCCAATATCTAAATAAATAAATAATTGTAATCGCTGTGCTGTAATCAACAGTCAATCAAAAATTGAGTCACAATACAACTGATTCAATAAACACCGATCAATTTAATAATATCGATACAATCAATACCAATAACATAGAGAAAACACTTACCAAGACTTTTACAAAGTTGTACAACAGCGCTAAAGGTGTCTATAGAGAAGTCAATCTTGCAGTCGATGTATCTGAGGTCCGGGAGCTGGATTCTGATTGGTTTGTGCATAGGAGTGAAGTGGAGGGTGGCATCTGCGTGGACTCCATATTGGTCCAATGTGTGCTTCGGTCGAGACAGCCATTTGTTACGTGTGGGCCACCAGAGTGCGTGATCTGACCAGTCCTTTTTGAATTCTGAAAACATCAAAACAGCATTTTAATCAAATGTATTCGACGTTTTTATAGACAGACTTATAGAGATGGTAATTGTAAAAGTCATGTTTGCGGCATAAGTAACGTGAGAACACATAGAAATACTATTTTTCATAAGATAGGTTAGTATTGTAGAAACATCTATTGATGTGATCACTAATAACAAGAAAGTAGGTAATGTCTGGTCTTATAATTTCAAATACTAAGCTTGTGTAAATTCTCAATACTGCGTGAGAAATATGTTTCTTAACAACACTAACTATAACTTACAAACATATATCTTGAATAGTTACTCGTGAGAGTTAGCACGTAATTAAATAAAATGGCAAGTTTCTTCATAGACCATCATGCCCTTGACGACCATAATAAAATGAAACATAGAGAAAACGCTATAAAGCCAGCTGTAAAAATAAGTAAGTGTTGGTAATAAAACAATAACAAGACCTTTATATGTAGATAGGTCGTAGGAAACAATGAATGAAGGAGTTGAGCATCACTAATACTCTTAAATACACATGGTTGTCATTAACGATGAATGAAAGAAATCTCATCATCTGGCGAATGAACCCGTCGACGAAAAAACGATCGGATTGACGTCATATGTAAAGGACGAACTGTTAAACATTGTAGAGCTTCGGGAACCCTTTCTACCGCAAGATGAGCGTGCAGGGGAGCTACGGACATACTGGTTTTAGCTGTCGTGTGCATTTTGTTTCGCTTCCGTTGAACCGTGAGTCACATGAGCTGTAGCCGTAGACGAACAAACTATAACATCTAATTTGCTATGACTCATAGTAAGAAAAACCTTATAGATTGATACACTTTTAAGGTGTGCTGTGATTTCAAGTTCATTGGACCGATTCATTTTGTTTTGACGTTTATGGCGATCTGTTGTTGTAATATGTTGAATTTATTCATAAAACAGTTAGGTATTTGGCTTCTGAAATAAAGGAAAACTGTTGTTTTTGTATTCGTTGTCAGTACAAACCGCAGTATATAACCTAGTACCTACGTAAACAAGTCCTTACGTGAATATTTACATAATAATTTACTAGAACCCGTTAGGTAGACGTTTGCGTGGAGTGGTAGTAAATCAGTAGCTGTTCAAACGCTGGGCAGTATTTAGATTCCAATCGCTTCATTTGTTTATTATGTATGCAAGATGGAGCAGAACCACTGAACATTGAAGGTAATAAGTGAACAGAGATCTTCAGAACCCTATATTATTATTTAGCAATGACCAAATGACCTCTCAACTCGGGTCTATCAGACCTGGTTCATAGTTTTTATAATGGCATGTAGTTAGCCCTGGTACTCATATAATGTGCAGTCTTATAAGACCGTCACCTATCCGACCCCTTGTTTTATTCTAAACAAAGTGCATCAACAACATTGTTCGGTAACTAGAACAGTTTATTTATAAACATGATGAATTGTTGTCTGCTGCAGTTATAAATAAAGTTGTTGGGAATGACAAGAATAAATTGGAAGTATTGGACAGTTTGTGTCAAGGTGTAAATGTAGACTTGACATCACACAATCAGAACATGCCAAATGTGGTCACAGACGATAATGAGGTCTAGAAGGAGGTCAATGATGTCTAAATGTTCGATACAATTTGCGGGTAAAAAATGGAGAAACCCAAAAGCTAAAGGCTATCGTAGGTGATATACTTTTTGGCTGGGATCACGAAGATTACAACGTTAATTTGAAGGCTGTACTTTTAGTTGATGTTGCAGTTGTAAATAAAGTATTCTGAATGAAAGACAAAAGAACCACAACAACGATTATTCTCAGTCTGTTTAGACTTCGGTTAGTAGGCAAGCATAAAACATGGTACAGGGAAACTGATTGAATGTAATACTTATTTCTAGGAAAAACGTGACAGACGGCAATCACGTTTTACTATAATAATGGTGACGTCATCCCATCGATCATTAAATTGTATGATCTGAGTAGAACATGTTCAACGTGGCCCGTATAACCCGCACTCAGCTTATGAGTCACAATGTCAAAATGTGCATCGGCAGAGTAGAGCGATGCAGTCAGCCTTCCAACAGTCATCTGTTTATTTAACTCAATATAATATCATTTGTTTTGCACTACTGCGTTGAAGAACATATTAGTTTAGCAAGATTCCAACATTATCATCTCATGTGCAGTGCTTCCTATTAGAATTTTAATTACATTATTCATCGTAAGCTAACACATAAATATACTTCATCATTATCGTCGTGTAAACACATTGCCATATAGTAACAATGCACATAGATAGCAGGTTCGGCTCCTGCGGAGTGTAAGACCATATTTGTTCAAAGATAAGTTGGATAGACGCGTTTCGCATCTACCGCTTTCGCAATTTTACCACCCCGATCACGTAGTGTGATTTCTTGCTCAAGAAATACTTTAGGATTCTAAAATACCTTTGTTGGAAACATGTTTCCTATACCACGAAGAAGCTTGGCTAAAATGTTGCCTTATCCAAAAGAGACATCGTTAAGCATGAAGCCGTAGTCAAATAAGGAGGATGTACGCAAGTACCACATATAACAGATTCTGACAGTGTATTTGCAATTCCTATGCAATGTTTATATTTTGAGATAATTCACGAGAAGATAAGCGTAACCGATAACTACAAGGTGAAACGGTTAAACGCAGTTGTTAAAATATTTTATAATTATATCAAAATATTTTAACGATCACTTGTTTAATCGTATTCATGCTCAAGGATCTTAAAGATCAATTAATTATTCCTGTGGTTACTCACGTTGATCCTTATAAGGACGATTGTGGCCAATGTTGAGGCGCCGATACCATACTTTTATAGTACAGCACCTTACTCGATATAGATCTTAATGCGTATGACGACTGTAAATCGATTTTTTCCGATTTATCGATAAGAAGATAAGTTCTAAGGACCTGGGGTAACAGGATATTAGATGTCTTAAAGGGTTTTCGCACGTTCGATAAATCTTTTTATCTCAGTTAGAAGAAATGAATAAATAATGCAATGAATAAAAACATAAGGTGAATGCATGCATGTGGAAAGACTGTTCACTCAAACAATACACGATTGAGTCTGAGTTTTGTAATATTTAACTCTGTTCTTTATGACAACATTGTTTCGTAAGGTCCCCTACTAATTGGTTAGTTATTCTCAGAGTTATCGACAGTTATGTGGGACAAGATAGTTTATTTATGGTGGCAGACAGTTTCTGCGCCTGCCGTCTCGACATTATAATGTGTTGACAGCTCAGCGTAACAAAATATGAACGTGTGCGCCAAGGGACGAAGAAGGAAGATAAGATAGTATCAAATAACACAAACATAGCAAAAGCAGTTCAAGTGAAAGTAATTTAGTAGCTCGAACGACTGATAATAACTATAAAGGTAAATGGATTCGAATGAAATAGAGAAGTTAGAAAAGTAACACATTCACATATGTTCGAAGCGGACGCATTAAGATTAAGGTTGTCATAAATGAGTTAGGGACGGTACATAACTAAGTCGTAAAGAGCAATATTTTTTAGAGCACGAGGGGAATTTGTTTTAAAAGATAGCAGTTACCTATAAAATATGTATATGTACGATAATTGAAACGATGACGAAGTATGGCTTGTAGTGTCTTCATTCCAGACCACAGTAAACTTAAATTGCTTTATAATGAAGATACAGATAAGTATTCTCCTTCAATGTTTTTGATGAATATTGAAGCATGCATTGTATACGATGTAAATTTAATAAATGGGTTAATATGTTCCAGAAACTGGAACGATCGCTTGGTAAATTGTAAATCATGAATGTAGGACGTCTCGCCAATTTTATTGCTCTTATACTACGCTCGACTGCTTTACTAAATTCTTTGAAGCCTTTGTGTATGTGTACCTACGCTACGACATACATTATTAATGAATTGATTAACATTTACATTAAAAATACTAGACGGTGAATACAGACGTGCAAACATAAGATGACAGCACTGAATTGTGGAAGGTTAAAATAGAGATGTTTCAAAGGGTCAGAGCCCATTCGTCCCCTAAGATTCGCACCCTGTGCCCACTCGTCCCCTGGAACTTTTGAGGGGCCTATTCGTCCCCTGAAGAATATTTATTTTTATTCGTTCTTCTAATATAAGTACATGTATATATGTATACTGCAGCTTGGTAGTCCTGGTACAGTCGCGCAGAAAAGGGTAAAATAAAAAAATATAGTAATTTGGTAGATATCATGTTTATTTTAAATAAGTTTAAGTTTAATAAATAACCTCTAGGCTCTAGGCATTAAGTCAGTCTTCAAAATAAGTTATCAGTTTTTGGTAAATGGTGACTCGTATTCGTAGTCACTTTCAAGAACCAATATGTCACCGAGGCAGCCATAACATACAAATAAAACGCCTTATCAATTTTGTACCCCGTTTTTTAAAAAGCCATTCGTAGAGAGACAATATTGCATCGTAGGCCTATCGACAGGTTATATTATTATCAATCATCATAGCTCTTTTTTCAATGATCTGTTATGATTTATTAAACTAATTCCGTTAATAAACTATTTACAAGTGTACTATGTTAACCGTTTCTTGTGTAAAATTTAGCTTATTTTATCTCAGGGGACCAATAGGCACCTGAATAGGTGCCGAATCTTTAACTTATTATGTATTATATTAGAGGGGACGAATGGGTACCTTAAAAATAATATTTTTTTATTAAATATTAATTGGTCCCCTACCAGGAGACCAATGGGCACCTATATAGGGGCCGAATCCACAACTTTTATGCTGGGGGACGAATTTTAGGGGACGAATGGGCTCTGACCCGTTTCAAATTACGAATTATACTGTTGACAGACTTTAGGTAACATTATTATTTCCAAGAATTAGTCAATTGAATAAGTAGTTGCGAATGGTCAGTCATAGGACAAACATGTGTAGGCAAGGCACCATTTACAATAATTGGGTTCAAGCTAAGCTTACAGGAAGTTTGTGCAG